TGATAATCCCCTCAATAATTTCTGAGTGAATGGCTACCAAATAGAGTTTTTTAAATGGATTGTTGTACCTTACTGAATTGAATATATTTTGGCATTGCTTATATTTTTTTTCTATTGTATTCATTGATCCTTTTAGTATTGTATACGCATTGCTGCTTACTTAAATACTGTCTTTTAATTGCTATAAACTGTCATGGGTCCTTTTAAAGGAGGAAAGTGGGTTAAAAATATTCCAAATAAATAAATAATTAGTGGCATGGGGTGGTTAGTTTAAGAAAAATGCTTGGGTTTACAAACGGAAACAAGTTTTGTTTCTTGCTGTTAACGTTGGTAGCGGCCAGTGCTTTTCATCATTTGGCCGCTAGAGGGCAGTGTCTCCATGGGTTTGGGCTTCCCGGGACCCTGGCTGACCTACATTCTATTTGCAAATGCCTTCACTTCAACAAAGAGGTGGGTTTCATGTGTTGTTTAATAGGTTTTAAAACCTGGAGCTTGAATGGGTCAATTGGAAAAAAAATGTTTAATGGTGCCAATTTCAGTTAGTCTCTCCTTGACATAATCCAAAGAGTAACTGAGTTGGTTGGGAATGACAAGGAAAGCAGCGTGGTGCTTAGGAGACAATCTCGTTTATTGTGACATAAATGGATACGATCGCGGCACCGCTGAGCGGCTGCCACGCTGCCCCCACTGAGGCTGAGGCCGTCCTGCTGGTTGGAATCGAAACGATTCAGCGAAAACAGCAGGAGGGGGAGGAGAGATTGATGCAGGCAGGTGCTGTTTGCCACCACGCCTCCGCCCCAGGAACGCCACCTGCCACAGGTGAGGCTTTCCTTTGTGGCTCTTCTGCCTTGGTTTGGCATGTTGCGGGGAGGCAGCTAGAGTTCAGCACCACGGAGAGCTCCCTGCAGAGTGAGGTCCAGCATTAGACCACAAGCTCTTTCACAGCGCTCATTGGAAAACAATGCAAGGTTTCGGTCAGCTTTTATAGGAATTTTAGAAGCTGTTTTCTAATGTGTTTGACCCTAGGTCCATCTCGCTCTGGATTGTTAGTTCTGAGTTGGCAGCAGCAGCACTGTTTCTAGGAGGATTCTGCCCTAACTCTGGGATTCCTCAGCTGCCTACCATTCCTATCTGAGCACGATTCTATTTAGCATCCAAAATCAGGTGAGAATAGTGAGTTCTCAGCGGTATGGTGGATGCGTCCTGGTGACCTCTAGGTGTGTCAAACAACAACTCTGTGATTCTCTGCCCATGTGACCAAGGAATATGTTGACTGAGAGTAATGGCCATTGTAATCCAGCACCCTACGGGTGAGGAAGGCTAAGAGAAAGGCTGCTACACTGAAAAGCCTACCTGTGTGGAAAAGGTCCATGGGAACATCCTCCTGTGTCCCCCAGATTTGAGGTGGTGGCAAGGGGTGGGGCAGCTGATCACAACACCCTTGCATGCACCCCACCTCCAAGGAACTAGGAACGCCTGCCTGTTTTTTTTGGACAGGTTGCTGCATGCCAGATGATGCAGAGGGAGGTGGCTCTGTTTTCTGGTGCCTCTGCCCCCAAGTCCCCATAGTGCCAAGTCTCCACAATGAAATGGACCTGTTTTTTTCTCCAGCGTGGGCAAAATTAAACTGTTTTTGCAACTCCTGAGCATATCCAAATTGTCCCATGGCCACTTGACCAAAACATTATTTTCTTTGAAACTTGAGTCATTTTCTGCTTCATGGGGCTTCATATTTTGCTTTTAAGTAGAACAAAGCCCCCCCACCAGTTCCCTCAAGCTCAGAACAGCCTCCCCGACCCCAATAAAAATGGACACAGAAGTCCAGAAACAAGGCACAGCATTATGTTGATTTTTCCCCACATTTTGGTGGGTTGGTGGAACCTCTGGTAAGTTGAGAAGAGTTCTCCACCCTTCTAGTGAGGATATCTGTGGACTTGTGTGACAAAGAAAAATAGAGAGATCTTTATTACAATCAACAGTTCAGATAATAGACACATGCACATAATAGAATATTGTTTTTCTGTTCCCACACCCTTCTTGCACACTTTCTTCAAAATTCCATTACTTAAATCTGGAATGGGCAACACTATCAGGTCCAGAAGCCCTGTTTTTTATTTTTTATTTTTTGCTCCCGTGGCCACCAAGAAAGCCAAAGAATGCCACACAAGAATGTAGAAGTGCCTTGAAGTCTAATTCCCATTTTGGAAGATTGATCTTTTGGGGAAGTAAGCAGTTCAGGGCTGTTTGTAACCTATTTAAAAGGTGAATCACTAGACCTGGATGTTCCAAGGGGTTTCGAACATTCACCTTGTTTTGGCCAAAGAGACTGCAAAAATTATGTTGAAGGGTTGCGTGAGGCCTCGGGGCTATACTTTGTCCGCCCCTCACCAAACACAAGTCCTGCTCCACGGAGAATAACAACTCCTTCCTTCTCAAGCACGCTCTCTTTTTAAACTGAAAACTTAAAACTTTTAAACTGAAGACTCCCCTCCGGCTCAGCTAAACCAAAGAGTCATATGTAGGAACCAGTCTCCATACCCCACTCATGCCCTGTGGGAAATCTGGAGTTACGAGTATAACCCGGTAGCCATGGAAACCATGGAGAGCAAATGCAAGCCGAGAAAAGTCTCTACTGGTGACACCATCTGTGGAGTTAGATCTGTGGAGTTAGATCCCCGAGACTTTGGCCAGGAGATCAGTTTCTATCCCAGGAGCCTGAAATGGGCTGCATCCTCCCCATGTACCCAAATTGCCCTGTCCCTGAACAGAGACACCCCTGTTCTCCACAAACAGAAAATGTTTTTAAGGGAGTCTCGTGGCTTTGCCACTCAGTTTTGGCAGCAAGACAGGAAGCCTCATTTAAAGCACATATTTCCTGTTTGTTTTCAGAGGGGAAAAATTTGCCACCCAGTGTTGACGGCATAGCGTTCGAGAAGGGGACCCCAAACTCCGTCAAGCCGGTGGGCCTCATAATGACTGCTGCTTCACTGGATAGATATTTTCAGACAGAGCAGGCATTGGCTGTTGCTGCTTTTTTTTTTCCTTCTGAGATTACCTACCAGGGTAATCACAATCCATTAGGGACCAATGCAGTGAACAGGGTGCCATAGAGCTCATCACGTTTGGCTCCATGATAATGCAAGTGGGGGCAGAGAAAAAGAAGAAAACATCATTTTGGCATGAGGTCCAAAGAAAAGATTGAAGAAGGAGCTCTTGTTTGGCATGTCTGCAGGAAATGAGGACTCTTTTTTTTATGGGATTATCTTAAATGGTGCAGCACTGGTACTACCTGGGGAAGTTTGCTCGTCCCTTTGCTAAGAGAAAGAGAGGGTCTGTATTCATCCATCACTTGCTGGTGCTGAGCGGACTGCCGGTGCCTCAGAGCAAAGTGTCCTTGCGTATCATGTATTTGTTCTGCCAATAGGCTTTGTCCTAAAAATAGATCTGAACCTGGTTGAGGTTGCTGTGGAGATGGCTGTGCCCTTGTTCTGCCAACCCAAGTGTGGGTGCCGTGGGTCACTGCTGGTTTAATTGAGTTCCCCTTGAAGAGCTTGTTGTAGAACTGTTGGGGAGCTTAGGCGAGGAGAAAACAAGCTGGAGAGTCAGGCACGATGGCACCACCTGTAGAGTCTTTGCTCTGTTAGCAGCCCCTAAACCCCTCGTGTTTGTGCCCGGGCGAGAAGTTGTTGGCATGTGCAGCAGAGAGCAGGTGCAGCTGTCGGAAACCACATCCCTCTGTCTTTCATGACCACTTGCATCTCTGATAGCTTTTGTATTTGTTTGTTTGTTTGTTTGTTTGTTTGTTTATTTGATTTCTACCCCGCCCTCCCTAGAGAGCGTCTACTTGGGACGGCTTACAAATACCATAAAATATCATAAAAACATCATGAACATTAAACAATTGAATCAATAATATAGTGTATTCAAGATAGGGAATGATAGAAAGCAAGAAGATAGAATTCAAGAATTGACAGAATGGAATGATAGAAAAACAAGAAAGAATTCAAGAATTGACAGAAGGGAAGGCCTGCCTAAAGAGCCAAGTCTTTAAATGGCTCTTACAAAAACATCCAGCGGGGGTGCCAGGCGGATCTCTGTTGGAAGACTGTTCCATAGTAGAGTGGCCAATGCCGAGAAGGCCCGGTTTCTTTAAAAAGAATTAAACAGTCTTGGTCTCTCCTGTCCTTGAACCACCTGGTGTAGGTCTTGATCTCTTGTGACCTCGGCTTGGTTTCTCTGCCTCTGTTGACTGGCTGTACCTAATCCCTTTGTTGGTGACATGACCTTGGCTTTACTCCCTTGATTCCATGTATATTTGCTGCCATAGTCACATGGGGCTGTTGGGCACTCTGCTTGGCCCTTGCCTCCAGGAACCAAGGCACGGACACTCGGAGGGGAAAAAAGTTCTGTTGCAGGACAAAGAATTCATCACAATGAGGTTGTGCATGGTTTGGAAATGTACTGCACTCACTCAGCTGAGAGTTGTTAATTTAAGCAAGCTGAAAAAAGCTGGAAAATCATTTCCAAGATACTAAAAAAGGTATTCAAATTATATATCATTCTTTTCTGGTGCCTAATTTTGTTTTCCTGTACTGTATTGTCCTTTATTTGTTTGCCTCTTTCTTTTTATTTTATCCTTTAAAAAAATTGCATATGTGTAGGAACTTCAGAAACTGAAAGAGACTTGATTTTCTCTGCACTTCTGATGCAAATTTCTTAACTCCTGCCACTTTTGCTTATGTTATTCTATAAAAATCCATGCATATGCCAGGAAAGCACTTTGTTGTACTTTTCCTTTTTAAACCACACCAATACATAATGTCTTGTGTGTCAAAACCAGTTCTGCTTGGAGAGGACTTCTTTGCGCATCTTCCAGGGAGCTGGTTGTGGTTGTTTCTTTGGTACTGAAAGAGGTGGAGTGCGTCTGCCTGAAAATTTCACAGTCAGTTTTGCTAATTGTGCCTTGACTGAATGCTCTCTCTCTCTCTCTCTCTCTCTAGGTTCTCCACCGCCTTCTGAGATGCTAGTTTTCACTCAGGATTATTCCCAAGGTCCTGGGGTAAGTGTGTGAGAGAGTGGTTCATGTCTGTTTATACTTTATTCCACGCTGCTGATCATTTTTCTGCATTTAAATTGAGTCAACCCTTCTTACGCCCACATATATTTAGTTCTTCTTTATGTGTTACATTTATGTCCCACCTTACCTCCAGTGAGTTCAAGCTTCTTTCCCACTTTCTCCTCACAACCACCTCATGAAATAGATTGGGGTGAGACTTAGCCTTGTGAGCTTGAAGGCCAAGTGGGGATTTGAACCCTTGTCTTTTGAACACCAGTCTTGCATTTAGTTTAGCTGCTACATTGCAAGGGCCTTCTGTGTTGATACGAACCACCGTGATGGACTGACACTCCTCCCCTTGCTCCCTAATAAATTTGCCTCCCCTGGAATGATGAGCATAAGGAAGTTGCTCCCAGATTGCTTGGAAAGGAGATTAGATAAACTCATAACACCACCGACCACCTCCAGGTTTTGATGGCTCTGTATTAACTCCAGGATGGCTTCAAACCACCACTTGCTGGAGAAGAGGAGCAGGAGGGTGCTGTTACTTTATGCCTTTCTTGAGGGTTTCCCACATGCATCCGGCTGGATTCTATGGGGAAAACCTGTCATGGTAGATGGTCCTGTGGCTTCATTGAGAAGGGCATGTTCTGTGTTCTTAACATGGAATCATCTGTTCAACCCAATGTAAGTTACACACACACACAACACAGGGAAGATAATTAGAAAATGGGCAAGTTCAAAACAGCAACTCATACAGACCTGTAGTGAATGGATGTCTGCTACTGAGGAACTCTCCAGTCGCTCTGTGTCAGTACAGTTTCTGCCGCAGGGATCTGAACCCCCTCTTGATTCATTCTTGCACATGGATTGAGTGGGATTACTCTAGGTGTGACTTGCTATGCAGAGCAGCGGGATTTCAGCCTCTGTGTGTGCAAATTAGGCAAAATTGCCCCAAGGTTGCTTTGGCACAAAGAATGAAGATTGCATGGGTATCTCATACTCAGTGGCACAGACATTAAGGAATTGAAGCTCTGGATGTGTTGCTTGCATCTTTCTTTACCGTCTACCAATTCTGTGCTTGCCGTCTGTGTCCTTTGGTTCTCAACAAGAAAGGACACAAGTTCTACACTAATTATTGTGCAAACCTTAATGGAACTGGGAGCTATTTCTTACTTATTTGTTTATTGCTTTCCTTTATGCGGTTTTTTTTTCTGTCCAAGAACTCCTAGAATAGCTTGCATCAAATAATTAGACAACGCATTAAAATATGTGATGAACGTAACAATCGGAAACCTCAGAACAGTTCACAAAAGAGATGAAACACACAGATAAAATTTAGGAGTATTCTTTACATTTTGGTTGGGTCCCCAAGCCAATCTTTCCTGACTGTGGCTTGTGAGGGTTTTTTTCCCATCTGAAACGATGGTCCCTAGTCCTGTCACACACTCCATGCTCCAAAAAGAGCTGCACAAGTGGCGCTGCAGAGCGTGGGGGTGTCATCCTGTAAGGGCACATAATTCTGCACTCCACGATATGGTGTGACCATTTTGTTGACGCAAAAGATGTGAGGCTAAAGCCAAGGCTCATGCAGAGATGCGGCGGGAAGTCCCTTCTCTCAGCAGAAATGTCGGGCTCAGCAGAGATGTTACTGAGTACTCCATTGCTTGTGATGTGAAGACGGAGAACTTCCGACTCAGATGTGGGTTTTTTGTTTTTGTTTTTGTTCTAAATGCCTTTCAAGTCCTTTTTCTTGTATTCTTTCCTGGAAGGGTGCTCCCGAGTAAATTAAGGCATTTGACTCCAGCGGAAAGAGGGCAGGAATGGAAGAAAGGAGCTTAGTGGGTCTGTTGGCCAGGAAAAGCTGCTGAGATTTGAAGAGAGGGCAGAGGCAGTGGAGAGGGTCATGCACCCCCTGGGTGACCTCCTCTTTGCTATCAGTGGATGAAAAGCTGTTACTAGACAAATCCCGTTTTAAAGAAGATCCTGCATAAACCATCAGGCTTCTGTTGTCCTTTTTTTTTTCCATGCCCATTTCACACAGAAATGCCCTTCATTCAGTTTCTTACTGATGTCCTTTGAGAGCGTCTTTTTCAAAAGAGTGCAACAATGGCTAGTAGTGCTCGTCATTAGTGTCAGTGGTTAAAATTGTTGGGAGTCTGGCTGGGGAATCCTGGGTTCAAATCCCTGCTCTGCCGCTACCCAAACAAGTGACTGTGGGCCGGTTTCTCGGCCTGAGCCAAACCTACAGAGTTGATGTGAGGTTAACAAGGAGACAGGAGAAATGAGAATACTTCCCTGAACTTCCTGGAGGAAGGAGACTGTGTGGATTTTTGAAAATCCCCTTTTCCATAACAACAACAACAACAACAACAACAGTCATAAGAACAACAGCAGCAATTATTCAAAGAGAACATTACTAATAACATATCTCCACTATGTGAAACATAAGACTGTTTCCTCATTTAGTTACTTTTCACCTTATGTTACTTTGCAAAGCACCATGGAGGATTCTGACCATTCAGGTCCCTGATCTTGGGGGCTCTCTCCTAAGCCCCTTCCCCAATATCAACAGAATCACTAGCGCCCTTCTAGGCTCTATCTAATTACAAGTTGTTGTTGCTTTGTGGTTGTTGTGGGGTTTTCGGGCTCTTCGGCCGTGTTCTGAAGGTTATTCTTCCTGACGTTTTGCCAGTCTCTGTGGCTGGCCTCTTCAGAGGACTGGAGTAGGAACTCTGTCCATGCTCTGTTGTTTTAATTGTGAAAGGTCAGCTGTGATGCGTCCTGCTAAACCCCTAACTCTTGCATTTCAGTTGTCAATATCCCAGCTCTCTGTGTCTCCTGGGCACCAAGCCTCCAAACCCCCATTGCAGCCGTTGAGTGGTGCTTCGCTGTTCCAGTCCTCGGAAGCTCTCCGGCGGACACGTCAAGAGGTAAAGGATTAGGTAGAGCTGTTCTCCAGGATACCTGCTCATTTAGTCAAGGACACAATCCTGTGTACCAGGTTGTAGCATGTGCCCCAGCTTTCCCGCTGCAGGAAGGGCTTTCTCTACCAGCTTAGTCTGTGACATCATGGTGTCCTGCGACATCCCTCTCCTGGTGTCCTTGCTATAAATTGCTTTGATTCCAAAGGGCAGTCGTGGGCTACTTAGGCGGACTCAGTACAGTTTCCTATTTTCCTCTGTTTCCCCACTCTTATGGTGCAGATGATTCCCTTCAGAGCTTCTCGCACATGGGTCTGGAAGTCTGTTCAGCCTAACTCACCACCAGCCTGTTTGAACAAAGGATGTCTTCAAAACAGGTCATTGTCTACCTGTTTAAACCGAGTAGCTCCCTGTGGCAGTTCCCAAATTACAGAAGGAATCCAGCCTTGATGAGCCGGTGGTTTTCAGAGGAAAAGCACCCCTGAAGAAAAGCTAGCCCACACAAGGGTTGTCAAAGCAGGGGAGAGCAGCATTGGTGGGTCTTTGGCCAATTTTCTGCTACCAGAACCTTCAGGGTGAGAAGCACCAAGAGTCAGAAAGCCCAAGACAGGAAACCAGATGTGGCTGGAAGGCATCAATTTTTTTTAAAAGAAATGTGTACATGTTTAGTGTGAAATTATGTAAGAGACAGTCCATGACCTATTCCAAGGTGAATCATTTAACCTGGAGGTTTCCATTATTGGTTGTTTGCCTTTTATTGGGTGGGGGAAAAAGAGAACTGGATAACACACAAAAAAAGCCTTGGGCATTTGTGTACGTGGCCCCAGGGCTACATCCCTGCCACTGCCAAATTTGAAGGCAGGGATTGCCAGCCAGGAAAAGCGGAAGATCATGCACTCCTGCCTGTGCTGGAAATGGTCACAGCAGCATGCAGTGTGCCAAGAGTTGTGGTAGAGGCAAAGGTGCTGAAGCAAAAGGAGGATTATCCTCAGGCGATCTTTGTATGGCCCAAACTGGATGTGTTATTAACCTCTCATTAGAGCTCCAGACACATTAGCTCTCCAGAGACGTGTGTCATGCTCCAGCTGGAAAAATTCCTCATCAGCTGAAGACACAGAGCTTAGCAAGAGCGCCAAGCCACTTTTAAAGCTGTCTGCCTCCCGCAACACCTTTTGAGGGCCTGCCTGGGATTGGGAGCAAGAGGCACCCTAGAATCTGGAGAGTTTAGTGTGTGTTAAAAAAAAGTCAAGCACAGTTTGTGCTTTTAAAGTTTGCTTGTTTGGATATACCTTTTTCCAAGCACACCAGAAAAGCAGAATCCTATGCCTTGTGTGAACTGCAGGTATCAAGATGCATTTGGTAATGCATAATTTTTCTACTTGGCCTCATGCTGGATGAGGTGTGTGCAAAATGGCAAATCTCCCTCTCTCCTTGTTTCAATAGCCGATCTGATGCCACTTTGCTGCCACAGTCTTCAAACCTAGTCTTTGCAGCCATAAGTCTTAGGAACTTAGTGCTGTTGTTTTTCAAGAAAGCGGAGGCATTGTTTCATTCATTCATTCCTTCATTCATTCATCCATTCATTCATTCATTCATTCATTCATTCATTCATTCATTCATTCATTCATTCATTTAAAATGAGAGCCAAGGGACAACTGTGTTTTTCTCCACTGCAATGGAATGATAGGCCACGCACAGTCCTGCCAGAAGAGAGACACAGCTTTAGAATCTGGCATCTGAAGGCAGAGTGGCAGAAACTCAATCACTCTGTGTGTGAGCTGGCCGAGTCTTTTCCCCAAACCCCATGGAAGTGCCGGTGACTTGCCTTTCCTTCAGTTCCTCTCCTTTTTCAAGCAGGAGAGTCCACGTGGTGGCATCACTCACCTGGAGTCTGATCTCAGCCAGAGCTCTCTGGCTCAAGAACCCTCCCCTGCAGACCTTCTTCAGGAGCTGCCATTCACACCTGTCCATGTTCCCCTTATCACCCTGGGAACACACTCAGGAAGGTGAGGCTGAGGAGTATCGAGGTGGGAGGGCTTTTCCCCAACTTGGAATGGGTCTGTTTAACACATTTGCAAGTGAATTTACTTTTCATCCATCCCACTTTTGGGGAACTGTCTCCAGAGCACAGACCATTATGTTTTAAAAGAAATCTGGTTTCTTACCCGGCAAACAGGTTGCTATTACCACTTATCTGATCGCAAAACTAATTTGCCTCATTTGTTACTTATGTATTCCTCATTATACTTAAAAGTAAGCTTGTAACTTCTAATCACGTTGTTCGTTACCCCAAAAGTAAAGAGCTGCAGATTAAATATATAACTTGTAATTGGTTATTTGATGCTCTGAGTGAAAATAAGTCAGGAGTAGAAATGTGCTAAACGTTGTGGGTGATGGGTCCTTGTGATGCAGCTGGACACACAACCATCTCATAATTGTGGGGATCGGTATCCATGGTTTTGCTTATTTGTGGTTTTGCTTATTTGTGGCCCTTGTTTTACTCCCTTGTGGTCTTTGTCTTGCCCTGTTGTATGTGGGGTTCCTTCCTATCCACAGTTTCAGGCATCCACAGCAGAGAATGCAACTGGAATTGAGTCATGCTTTTAATGCCTTGCTAGGTGCACAGCATCCCATTCCTTCAGATTTCAGAATGAAACCCCCAAAGGATGGGCTGGTGGGATGTCCCAGAGGCAAGTGTTGAGAGTGGAAATGGCACCATTTCTGGGACAGCTAGAACCTGAGTAAAAAGGGCTTAGAATCCAAGTATATCCCTGCTCACTAGGCCATATTGCATTCCACAGCTGGCGAGGCCAAGAGGAGTCCCTTTTTTTCAGTCTTAGAAAGGGTGCAAAATGTGCTTAGTGCTCACAACACCTGCCATCATTCCTCTTAGGCCTTGCATTGCGCTTGGTGTTAATCTCCAGTATCCCACAACTGCTCTTTCCCCTTCAGCCATAGCAGTGTTCTGACGCGGGCCTCCCTGGCCCGCCTGCATGCCTCTGGGTTCCCTCCACTCCTGGACTGCAACAAGGAACCTGCCCAGCTGGTGGACCCGGAAGATCCTGTGGACTACCAACCACAGCAGGAGGAAGCCGACCTCTTGCAGAACAATGAGATCATCTTCCAGTTCCTTGCATTTACCAGGTAAAGCTCCCGAAACAGTGTTTTTGGATTCGTTTCTTATGGAGCTGAATTAAAACTCTCAGTATGCTTCCCATTTTCCTATAGCCTCTCCCCCACACAACTGTTTTGCAGAAATGTCCCGGCTTCTTCTTTGTTTTCTCCCACCAATAGACACAGCACTCTTCACAAAATACTTTACAGCAGGGAGCATACCACGGGCTGATCCACACCATGCCCCTTTAGTCCACAGATGTTTCTGCCAGATAACATTTGTTTTAGTCTTTAAGGTACCATGGGACTCCTTCGTGTTCATTTTTTTCAGGGATACCTTCACAGCAACAAAGGGTAGAAACCTGCTTTCTGGGACCAAAATATGAAACCCAAGATAATCAGGGATGTAATTCTCAGTGTTTTGAAGCTACAATTGACACCCAGTGCATAGACTTGACAGAACCTCCTATACCAACTGAGTTGGAAGGAGGCAGAGCCAGAGTAGTGATTCATTCAGAGAAGCAGCGAGGAGTCTCTGCTGTGGATGATTACGCTGTACCTCCCAAGAGTGTACAACTTTTAAGATGCATATGGTCCTCATGACACCTTGAAGCCTTTCTCTGGGAAGTGAACCCAGCACACAGCTTGGGAATTTTTTTGTGGGTTATGGTGGGGGCGGTGGCTGCATCTAGATATTACTCTGAATGGCTTGATCAGAACGATCAGATTGTATTCTGATCCCTTCCCTTGTTTTTTTGACAAGACAGCACAACCAGGACAGCATCGCTGAGACGGGGCTGAAAACCATCTATTTCACCTTCCAGTTTTACCGCTTCCCTCCCGTCACAACGCCACGGTTGCAGCTGGTGAAAATGGATGTCTCAGGGAAAACTCCTGCGGTCACCTCTTCCCATCTCTTGGCCCAGATTAACCAAGATGGAACCTTCGACCTCAGTAAGCCCAGAGGGCAACCTGTGTGTGTGTGGGTGTTTTTAAAGAAAAGGAAACAACACATTTCCTTCCTCCCTGCCCCAAACCCCAGACCACCCATTTCAGGGGAGAACACATTCCATCCGAGAGATTGTGGAGGAGGCAGGTGGTTGCAGAAGAAAGGAGGGCAGAGGATCTTTTCCTGCACAGCTAGAAGGCGCCAGGTTGGCAAAGGCTGGCTGAAGACCATGCAGAGGCTGTTATTTTCCATCTTTCCATATTACCTTGTCCTCCTTACCATCTGCCCTCTCACCCTGCCCCTAATCCCTGTTGTGTTTCCTCACTCCTAAAATTTTGAGTTTCACTTGCCTGAAAGGTGGCTGTGACCATGGGCCACCTTCAGTTATAGTTCTTTATGTCTTGCAACCGATTACATTTGAGCTTATTATAGTTGGACACACCTTTACAGCCAGAGCTGGTTCCCAGAGTGGCCTACAGTTGAAATTTACTTTGGGGTGGGCATGTAGGTGAAATGAAGGTATCTGTAGGTGTATGTTTGGGGTCTGAAACTTCCAGAATTCTGCCTGGACAGTTCTTGGAGAATTCTGGGAGTTGGGATCCAAAAACAAAACAATAAGAGCAGATCCCAAGTGCTTAGACTCCTGAATCACTAATATGAATATAGGGGATAGTAGCGGGTTTTTGTGAATCAGGTCACTTTTGCAGGATAACATTCCATGTAAAGCTGTGTCTTTATTGGAACACTAAAAAGTTTACAAGCAAGGTGAGCTTTGAGGTTCTCCAGAACTTTCCTTCAGACTAGAATGATATAAAATGTGTCTGGGTGGGAGGGTGGCTAGGGAAAGACACAAAGCTTCCCCAAAGCCAGGCCATCGTTTTCATGAAGGCAGAGGGCTAGCAAGGCAAGAGGGAAGTGGCAAGTTCAGTAAATCAACAAGGCTGTGAAGGTGCCGCTTTGCAGCCCCTTCGTTCTCCATAGATAAAGCCCTAGCTGGGAGGCTTGTAGCTCTGTTGCCTGAGGAAAGTAGCCTTATCGTATTATAGAGTTCTAGAATTGTGAATTTGGAAGGGGCCTATAAGGCTATTGAGTCAAACTTCGCTCAAGGCAGGAATACAAATCAAAGGATATCTGCCAGGGGGTTGTCTAAATCTCTCTTGAATGCCTCCAGTGTTGGAACACTCACCACCTCTCTAGGTCATCGGTTCCCTTGTCGTACTGCTCTAACAATTGAGAGGTTTTCCTGACATTTAGCAGAAATCTGGCTTCCTGTAACTTGAGCCCATTATTACTGGCTTAGAACATTTACAAGGCTATCAGCAGGCCAGGCATTTACTGGAACGTAACACTTTTTGCTCTGAAATTCCTGGGACACCTGTAACCAGCTAATTTCTCCACAGGCTCACCAGGCTTCCAGCTGAGGTATATGGTGGATCCTGGGTTTCTCAAACCAGGTGAGCAACGGTGGTTTATCCGTTACCTGGCCGAGCACGCTCTGCAAATAGATGCCTGGGACGGGGACTCCTTGCTCCTTGTTGGATCTGCAACTGTGAAACTGAAGGTGGGCACCCATTTGCTGGCTGTTCTGTCAGAGCAAAGTATCAGACTGAAGAAACTACTTGGAGGAGTAGCAAAACGTTTCAGCCTAATAAGAAAGCAGCCCAGTTGCCATGACTCAACTTCCAGACATCAGAAGAGATAGGACCACCCAAGTCAAGGCTGTTTGATGTGTTGGAATCAGAAGATTCTGAAATGAAGAAGATATAGGACCACCCACGTCAAGGCTGTTTAATGTGTTGGAATCAGAAGATTCTGAAATGACGTAGATGTTCGGTTGAGCTGTGCAGTCAGGTTCCACCAGTCTCACCCTCTGTGGCTTCTACTTGGAACATTTTTTGGGGGGGTTCCCTCTGTTGAGAGCTGCATTACTTAAGTGCACTGTGCTAGGGTCTAAATGCTTGTAGGGAGAGAGGCCAAAGCTAAATGTTTTCAGCCCCTCGTCAGCCATAACTTATCATTCCGGCCAAAGTGATTGATTCTTCTGGGCATCTCCTGCTAGCTGAACATGTCGGTTCATTCCTCTTCCTCCTCCATCCCACCACACCCTAGTCATCGGTTCCTCATACTGAGGCTTTCTTTCTTCTTTTCTTCAGCACTTACTCCGCCAGGGCCGGACAGCTGTTCAAGTCCACCACGAGCTGGAGGTGGTCACCATGGAATACAAGCAGGACACCCCAGTGATGAGTGGGGAGATTTTCCAGCTTGGGTACGTGAAGCCCATTGGAGTCCATGCTGTTGTGAGAGGCTGGCTTCACCTGAGCCTGGCTAATATTGGTAAGTTGTGATACATCTGTGTGCTTCCCAGGGAAATCTCCCTGTTGTTGGGGCAAAGGAGTCTCAGGTCAAATGGGGATCTAGTCCTGTCATGGAGTAAGTGCATGGCAGGTACACAGTATTCAAGAATCTGTGGGAACATCAGGTGGGGAAGTTGTCAAAAAAAAAAAAAGAGACCAAATTAAGGTTATTTTGGGCTTCCAGATTCATATGGGCAGACACCATGAGCATAAGGCACCAGACATAACAGTAACAGAATGAAGAAATGTGCAATTCCAGGGGATGCCAGAGATGAAGATAAAGAATTGGAAAAATCAGCAAGATACAGGCTTCTGGCAATAGAAATAACTCATTTATGGATGAAACACACTTCAGTGGTCCCCATAGTCATCAGGGCATTGGAAACAATGCGGTGGAATTTTATCAGATATAATCAGCTACAGACCTCTGAAATAACACCATCAGATTTGCAAAAAAGGCAGTATTAGGAACAGCATACATATTGCACCAATATTTAACTAATACTTTAGGGCAGTGGTCCCAAGCCTTTTCCAAACTGCAAGATTGGTTGGGGTGGGTGGGGTCTGTGCGCTGTGGTCGTCTCAAGCCTTTTCCGAACTGCAAGATTGGTTGGGGGGTGGGGTCTGTGCGCTGCGGAGGCGGGGCACCCGTGCACGCATGTGTGAGTTGGCGGGATGTGCAGGGAGGGGGGCAGGGCACCAGTGTGTGCATGTGGGGGCCGTGTGTGCGTGCGGGTGCGTGTGTACATGCGAGGGGTGTGGAAGATCTGTCTCCACGGCCCAGTCCTGCCAAGGTGGACCAGGAGTTGGGGACCCCGGCTTTAGGATATTTTTTAAATACTTGTATCTGTTATATACCAACAACAATAACAGTAATACTCTTAAAGCTGCAGTGCTGGAAGGGACCCTTTGGATCACGGTGCCCAGTCCCTGTCAGGGAAGCACCATGAGCAATTGAACTCCCAGTCTCTGGCTCTACAGCTAGATATCTAAACCACTGAGCTGTCTACGTCTCCTAGAGTTTACCTTTTAAATGAAAAACTAGCAGAAGACTCCTCCTTAGGAAAGAGCAGTGCCTGCATCCCAGTCTGTGAAGCCATGGTTTTGATGATTTAGAGAGATGTTCTGCTCCAGGGACGGGGTAGGGAGTTTTACCACCGCACATTGTAAAATCTTATTATCCCCTGTGTGCCCTGACAATGGAAATAACATTGGGTTCTTACAGCATGATGGAAATGCACAGGTCATTAATTCTGTTTAGTCTTGTTTACAAACAGGGAATCAGAGGCAGCTTTCGAAAAGGACAATATGGGAAAAGCAACACTCAATTAGATGCCAACAAAACAGCAAAGTGGAGGAGATGATTGGGATGAGAGGGAGGCACCAGAGGGCCGTATCTAGGAGGAAGGGATCTAGACACATAAGGACTTTTCTCTTGCCAGGTTCATGGCTTTAATTCATCCACCTGTAAAAACCAGAGCAGCTCTGTTTAAAAAAAAATCTTATCTTCAGAAGAAAGATTAGCTTTCATTCTACCATATCATAAACTGACATTTCATACTTTGTCTGCAAGAAGGAGATAAGCTTCTTTTGTGGAGGGGGTGGGAACAGGGGTAGAGTAGGAGAGAAGGAACATCTTTGAGATGATTGCTGGTAAGGTGGTTTGAAGGCTAGGCAAGGAAGTGGCCAGATGGCAAAGAGGGACTCAAAACGACTTCGTGAGGATTGCTGTGGTCTGGTGGGTCACATTGCTTTCCCTGCTGCATTTTTGTTTAGAATTCATGGACTTAGTCCCATATCTCCCCTATCTTGCTTTTATCCATCCCATAATTCTTCCCATCGTTTCTCCAGTTTCAGGATTCATGCTGTTGGGTGTCGTCTCTCCTCCCTCCCCCCGCCCCCAGTTATGGATTTCTGTGAGTTGGCCTTCCGGTTCATTTCTCCTCACTAAGTCTGAATCCTCTTTTACTGTCTTCCCCCCTGCTTTTCTTCAGTAAATTAATTATCCAAATCACTTCATGCTCCAAAGGGTCAAATCAGGCACTCCAGTTGTAGTTGCTCAGGAGAAGAAAACACACTAGTTTTTCAACCACATGTTCCTCTCACATGGTTGTCTGCGCCCAATCAGGATGCAAATGAAGCTACATTGCTTATGCCACAGGAATGGCTGGAGAAAGGAGTGAGTGGAGAAGAACTGCCCTTCTGCGGTCTTGTGTTGCAGGTAAGGAGATGTTCGGTGCTGGCACTTCTGCTTTGCAAGCGTGAGCCCAAGGCCCAGCCCCCCACCATCTCCACACAGAGCTGGACACTTCCTGAAACCCCTGAAGATCTCCTGCCAATAGTCTTCAGCTAAAAGGGCCAAGAATCTAACTCTGGATATGGCAGCTCCCTGTTCCTGCCTGTCTGTGGCTGTAAGGCTGGTTCAGACACATGAAGGCTAAAGGAGAAAATCCAGAGTGTGCTACCTGGGAGGCACCCATCTTGTCTGCCTTAATCTCAAACCTGGATGAAGCAATCAGAGGAGTCTCTTCCATCCCTTGCCATTTGCCAGGAGAGAAAAGACGAGAGGAGTTGGGGCACAGGGAAGAAGAAGAGAAGAGAAGCCCCTGTCTCTGGACCCTTTAATGGGCTGCCAGGAGGCAACCCTTCCTCATTCTCAAGTTGTTTTAAAGATAAAGGGCAGTAAGGAGAGAAATGAAGTGGCCTGTCATCTGCAGTGAACAGCACTAGGCTGGGAGACTCGGCAGCAGGTGCTTGAATCACCTTGTCATTTGCACTTGAGTGAGAGACATTGCTATACTTTTTAAATTACTGTATAAAAACGAATGTTCCCTTTGTATACATAAACTAGTCTGTGCTGTTTTATGCTGTGCAGCATTCTCTTTTGTCTGTCTTGGTGGCAGGCGAGTGGCCACCCTGGCACCCACTGTGGACTTTAGCTCTGCCTGGGAAGATTCCCCTTGAAGGACGTGACCCTCCACAGAGAAATGATTCGCAGTTTGTGAGAGGACATCAAGGAGAGGAGACCCTTCCCTGCACAGGGGAGCAGCTCAGGAGGGAAAAACCTGAAGAAGCAGCTCGCCTTCTGTAAAATAATCTTTGCCTTCTTGAAATGAAGGTGCTCCCCTTGCATCTTTTCCAAAGGAACCGGGCTTCCTGGCACACAGCAAATCAAAGAGCCTCTTATGCAAAAAAAGGCCTTAAGGTGTTTCCTTTGATAACCCCCCTCCATTTGCCTGCAAAGGCCTGTGGGTTTAGAGGGAAGAAATTGACTTTAAAGAAAGGTTTTGGCTTGCAGGGGGAGGCTGAGATCAAAAGGACCGGCAGCCTTGCAAAGGGCTGTGTAAGGCTGCCATTATGCATCAAGGTGTTTATTTCCCAAAAAGTCAAAAGAGAACCTGCTCAGGTATCAGAAAGGTACAAAACAAGATAAGGCTTCAAATAGCGGAGCAAGAAGTAACTCTCCGAGGCTGGTGTTTGAGGTGACACAGGCAATTCGGGTGCCCTTGCAGGACTTTCTGGCACACTTCCTGAGACACACTTTGCTGAAGAGGTGAACCCTCACCCCATGCAGTCACCTTCATGACTAACATGGCTCCGGGGAAGGTAGATTTCTTTTTCTGTGGCATATAACGTGGTTCTGGTGCTTCTCATCAAAAGAGAAAAGAACTCGCTGCAGGCGGTGAGAGATCAGAGGAAGGGGAAACAGGAGACCTAGGAGGGGGAGGAGAAGAGAAACCACAAGAGGAAAAACAAAGCCTCAGATCATACTTGCCATGCCTCACCTTCAGACTCCTAGAGATCTGCCAAAATTCATCTTGTTCTACCACCTGCCAGTGCAGGAATCCACAGGTAGAAGGTCCCTGAAAAGTGGCCACCCGACCTCTGCTCTAAAGCATTCAAGGAAAGAGCATCCTCCTCTCAAACAGCTCTTGCTCTCTGGACATTCTGTGGCCCGTTTAGTTGGAATCTCTTTCTTGTAGTTTGAATCCAATGTTTTAGTTTCCACCTTCTGGAGTAGCCGGCTAGAAGCTTGCTCCATCTTTTGTGTGTTAACTACTTGCAAATCTGGAGATGGTTATTCTACCCCTTCTCCATCTTCTCACCTCCAATCTTCCCCAAACATTCCCCAGAGTCTCCAGGCATACTAAGAACTCATGTTGAGTATCCCTGGGGCTTTGAGATTTAATTGAGTGGCATGCGCGAAGCAAGGCGATCCTCCCTCAGTGTCCTTGATGTAATGCAAGGTCTGCAGTCAGGCCCCAGGGGAGAGTTGCCCTGCCAGGTAGAACAGTTTGAGGGCCAAAGGGTGGGGGGGAAACTTTTTGGAGGAGAGGTATGGTCCTGGCTGCCGCAGGTTCTTCCAGCTGACTGTCCTGGCACACATCGGAGAGCAGCTTGTGCTTCGGTCAGATATAGGAAGACCCCACCCCAATATGGACACACGTGGTTCATCCTCTCATGCAGGCCTCCCTTTCCGCTCCTGAGGAATTTCACCAAGAGCTTGAAACATGAGCTTTTAAAGGGGGCTCACTCATTATGTACAAGTGGTCAGAGGATAGCTGCCATTATTGTTCTTGCACTCACAAAATGTTTGTTGCAGTGTAGGTTGCTTTTATACCAATAAGCCGGAAAAATGCAAGGAAAGATTCTTCAGTTCTCTCCAAAAGTTGGTTCTGAGACTTTGATTTGAAAATAACCAGAAGAATGCACAAAGATGAGACAAAATCGTGTTTTTCTTGGCTCTTTGGGGCCAAAACTAGAATGGCGTGAAAAGTGCAAAATGCTTGTCAAGATGACTTTTGAAGGCAAGTAGGAAAACCTTCCTTTGTTTGCTGAAAAATAGCTTTGTAACCATTTGTGTTACTTCTGAAATGTGACTTGGTTACACCTTCATTATCCCAAAGAACAATTGGGGGCAGGGGTGGAAGTATAATATGGTGCCCCAGCAGGCTCCCACCATTCCAGTGTAGTTCAGGATTGTGGCTGTCTTCCTGTGCACTTATCCTGAAACTTCCACCGGTGTATTTGGCTCTTCCTGACCTCAGCAGAAGCTGAGCTGTGCAATTGGATCCTCCTTCAGTGTTGATACTGAGAGAGCCAGGTTTCAGCCTCTTCCTCTTAAGTATCTCAGGCTGCCACTACACAGCGGGAAAAATACACTTTGTGATCTGCAGTTTTTCAAATTGGACCCTGGCTAGTTTCTGTGGGGAAAATCCCTGCGGCCAATCCACATAACAAAGCTGTCTTTGCATGGAGCTCCAACAGCAGAAGCTATCTTTCATCTGACGTGATGCCAGTTTGCAATTCCCACCTCTTCTTTAAAATTTATTTTTCCTGTGTGACCTAGTGGTAGTCTGTTGCTGTGCTAACCTGAAAGGCTTTCTTTTTAGAAGCAGTGCAGTGTTTGAAGACAACTGGAACATCCCTTTTTGCCTGATGATGCCAGGCAATTGGAGCAAGAAAAGGATTCCCCATCATGCTTCCCCTCATTGAGTTTTGCATCATATAGTCCTCAGTTTTTAATTCTACTCCATCTGTGTTTGATCTGATGCAAATTGCAGGAGTAAATGAACAATTTAGTCATCCACCTCAGTGAAGCCAGACTTGCTATCCTAAAAAGAGAGTCAGGCACCTTGGATTGTGACCTGGCTCAAACCGGCAAGTCCTATACAGCACAGGTTGGAAGCGTGTGACTTTTCCCCGAGTAAAATATATATTAGGTGAAGAAATGTATGTGTGTGGGGGATTGATACTATGCATCTAACTGCTTGCTTTAACTAAGAGATGGGAATTCACATCCTGATCTCCATGACACCATTGTTTAGTGGCTTCCCATCCTTTATACAAGTTGCTCTGCCATGTTGCAACACTTCTCAGGTTTGTTGTTTAGTTGTTTAGTCGTTAAGTCGTGTCTGACTCTTCGTGGCCCCATGGACCAGAGCACGCCAGGCCCTCCTGTCTCCCACTGCCTCCCGGAGTTGGATCGAATTCATGTTGGAGACTTCGATGACCTTATCCATCCATCTCGTCCTCTGTCGTCCCCTTCTCCTCTTGCCTTCACACTTTCCTAACATCAAGGTCTTTTCCAGGGAGTCTTCTCTTCTCATGAGATGGCCAAAGTATTGGAGCCTCAGCTTCAGGATCTGTCCTTCCACTTTCTCAGGTTTGGTTGATGACAAATAAAAGCTTTATGATAAACTGTGCAACTTACCTTGGTCCTACAGTCACAGAACTACTGAAAAGTGCTGCTCAGGTCATGACTTTGCTCTGTTTTTTGGTCCTCCCTCCACAGACACATGTGCTTCTATTTTTCTGCAGGCCACCTCTGTGAACAAAGGCTGAAAAAACCACACTCATTGCCACCTTCCCGCTCCCGAGTCATCTCCTCGCATGATGGAAACAGTGGCTTCCATGGGGGCAGCCTGCTCTCCATCAACACTTACAGTGGTAGGATTGCTTTAAGGGTGCAGCCGCTTTGGGACAGGATAGGGGTTTGGGGAGGGCTGGTTCCCCCCTTTTTTCTCCCCCTTGATCACATGACACAAAGAGAAATGCAAATCAGCCTGAACTTGCCTCCCTCAATTCATAGTTTTCACCTCGGCAGCTGGGGATTCTACTTTTTAAAAAGATGGATCAATTCACATTGGTTCAGATGTACCAGTACAGACTCTACCCCCCTTCTTTTTTTAAAAAAAAAGAAACAGCTAAAGATGAAACAAAAGCTCTCTTGGCAAGCCTTTGTTTTACAACTTAGAAATGGCTTGCAAAGCCAGCAAGATTTAAAAGAGATATATCTTGATGTCAGCACTGTTGCTCTTGGGCACATAATCTCAATCTCCCCCCACACACACACACACACAGTTGAGTGAATTTATTTTATTGAAGGAGAGGTAACTGAGAGCAGCAGAGGAAAAGCAGCAATCCTGGGGGGAGGGGAACATAAGTGTTTTCCCTTTTTTCAGCAAAAGGCACACCAAATGGCTAGAAGCAAGTGAGTGGGCAGCCTGCAAAAGGTTTGGTGAAAGGTAGCTACATGTCCTCTTTTAGGGAGCACAGTCCTCCCTTTGATGGTCTGCCAGAGGACAGTCTCTCTCTCTCTCCCTTTTTTTTTTGAAAGATTTCGTCCATTTGAAGGGCTCTCTAGTCCACATTTAATTTAAAAGTAAAGAACCCAAAGAAGGAAGGAGATCAGGGCTCTTGACATTATCTGACACCCACTGCTGAGCAGCACCTAGACAGGAGACTCGCCAGCAGGCACAGAGATCCCTGTCTTCCCCAGTACTAGTGAGATTCCCTATAATTCTAGCTAAATTCTCAAAACCATTTCTGATCTTTCCATCTGTAAAATATAAATTAACATGCATGGTTTTCTGGAAATCCATGCCCTCCTTTGCCTTCCTTCTTGGCGTTGTTGGAGAAGCCAGTGTAATTGGCAAATAGGCCTTGCACCTCCTCTCTGCCCCCATACCCTTGTTGAGTTTATCTTGGAAAGAAATGGCCAGGACATGAGTTAAGGACCACTTTATATCTCAAAACAGTCAGTCAAATAGATTGCTTTTAGGAGGAAAAGATCTCGGGATCTCTTATCCTGCTTTTAGCCCACAGTTAAAATGTCAATCCATTTTCTAGTGAACCACCAGAGTGTCTAACAGAAAGTAGGATTTTAAACAGGTGAGGACTCTCAAGTGAAATCATGCAATATTTTGACAATTGAAACAGCCTTTCACTTATGTCCCTTTTAACTCCCAACACAGCATCTTTCTGAAGAAGGCTAGTGTATCACCTTCACTGTGGAGGCTTGGTCTGGGCAGCAGGCCAGGCTGTGCAGCACTATTATTACCACTTTCCTTCAGTGCTGAGCTTTCAGTCTAATGTGTGTCTGGTGGGGTTGGACTCAGTGGCTTTATAAGCCTCTTCCAATGCCATTATTCTAGGATTCCGTGAGAAGCTCCCAAGTTGCGGGGGTTAGCGAAGACAAAATAAAAAACATGTTACTGTGGCAAACTGTAGAATTAGACAAGGGTTTCCAAAGGTCATCAAGTCCAAACCCTTTCTGGTGCAGGAAATCCACCTCTAAAGCAATTCTGACAAATGGTCACCCATCTGTCTCTGTGTAACACCAGAATGCATCACCTTCTGAGGAATTCCTTTCCTCTTTCAAGGATTTGTGACTCTCTAGAAATTGCTTCTGAAGTTTTGTTGAACTCTCTTTTTCTTTTACTTTGAATCTGACGTTTTTTGTCCTACCACCTGAAGCAGCAGAAATCAACCTTCTTGCATCTTCCAAATGACCAGTCCTTCAGACACCTGAAGAAGGCCATCATAACAGGTGAAGAAACAACAAACAGAATCACTGGACCACCCTTGCAAACTGATGGAGACACACTGCCCTTTTTGGGAGATGTGTCCTATGAACAATCCCTCCTTCTTTTATCCTTCTCCATTGTCCTCTCCATTATCCCCCATTCCCAAGGCAAATAGCTGGAGCTGTTTCTCTGTGTATTTGCAGTGGGAAAGAGGACTGCCCTGAAATGGGGTGGCGGGGAGGAGGAGAGAGGAACAAGCCCTTGTTGATCCATTTTTGGGCAGGGTAGTTTTTGTACTGCTCTTGCAGTGCTTGTTAAAAATAGCTTCTCTGTCTTGTGCCTGCAAGGGCAAGAGGGGGGCAAAAGGGCCTAGCTGATGTCTCACTGCCAAGTGGCTTCTGAGTGTACTACCAAATCCACAGGAGGACTTTGCTGGACCCATAAATTCTTCAGACACCATGGGCAGGAGCAGAGGAACCGCTGACTCGGTTGTAATACCTGTGAAGAGGGACTTGGGGTCATAGTAGGCCACAAGTAAAAGATGAGCCAACCAAAAATGGAAATGGAATACTAGGGTGGGTCCATAGAAATACATAAATAAATACAGTGTCCAGACCAAGGAATATAATAGTACCTCCCTAGTCTGCTTTGGGCAGACATTGCTCAGAGTGTTGTGTCTCATTCTGGGCACCACATTTAAGGAGAATATTGATAAGCTGATGTGTGTCCAGAAGACAACAGACTGATGTAAATGGCCTGGAAACCAAGACCAATGGCAAACAGTCCAGGGAGCTGTTTGCCTGAAGGCTGAGAAGTGGTATAAAAGCCATCTTGAAATCTTTCAAGGGTTGCCATGTGGGAGACTTCTACTTGGATGTGCATCTTCTTCTTCGTGGCCTCTGTGAATGCACACTAATGGGTTAAGTCTGCACGTGCAGAAGAGAATGAATAATTCTAATGGTGATGAGGGCAGCAGCTACTGGGTAATAGCATTAAATGAAGGTGACTGGCTGAGGAGGCAACAGCAGTGAAACCTGGGCCAATGTTAGTACTGTGCAGAAGGTAGCAAGGTAACCATTACGGAACTTTCTTTGCTATAGAAACCTTATGATGAGACAGTCTACAATGAAACAAGAGATAGTCTTGGAAGATGAGACTCCCAAGTCAGAAAGCACTCAGTCAGCTACTGTGGAAGAGTAAAGGACAAGTGTGAATAACCCTGTTCCTAAAGATGAAATTAGATTAACGCTAAAAAGATGTCTAGTGGTGGATGTGCACAGATGTGAAAGGAAAGCCTGATGCTGCAAAACACGTACAATTAGAGCAAGGCAGAAGCTACTGGGTAGTAGCATTAAATGAAAGTGACTGGCTGAGGAGGCAACAGCAATGAAACCCGGGCTAATGTTAATATTGTGCAGAAGGTAGCAAGGTAATCATTACTGAACTTTCTTTGCTATAGAAACCTTATGATGAGACAGTCTACAATGAAACAAGAGATAGTCTTGGAAGATGAGACTCCCAAGTCAGAAAGCACTCAGTCAGCTACTGTGGAAGAGTAAAGGACAAGTGTGAATAACCCTGTTCCTAAAGATGAAATTAGATTAACGCTAAAAAGATGTCTAGTGGTGGATGTGCACAGATGTGAAAGGAAAGCCTGATGCTGCAAAACACGTACAATTAGAGCATGGAACAAGGGAATTATCTCTGGAGGCAACAGTGATGAAACTGAGGCCGTCCTACTTTGGGCACATCATGAGAAGGCAAGATTCTCTGGAAAAGACAATAATGCTGAGAAAGGTGAAAGGAGCAGGAAAAGAGGAAGAGCTAATACAAGATGGACTGATTCCCTAAAGGAAGCCACTGGCTTGAGTTTGCTTTGCAAAAGCAGGGCTGTGGAGGAGAGCTCATTCATAGGGTCAGCATAAGTTGCAGGTGACTTGACCGCATGTAACAGCAGCAACAGCAAATTTAGACAACTGTCGGGCAGATCTGCTTTGATTTGTCTTCCACTATTGAGAAGAGTGTTGGACTCAACAGCCTTGTCGGCCCCTTTTGTGGTTCTAAGATAGAGCAAGGTTGCTTTCTGAGGCTCCAGAGAGCAAGACCTCAACTAGTGGGTTCAAATTACAAGAAAGGCAATTCCAATTTAACACGTTAAGAAGAACTTTGGAGAGGAAGAGCTCTTTGGCAGTGGAATGGTGGCCTGTCTCAGAGAGTCATAGAGGCACCATTGCTGGGGGAGTTTGCCAGAAGGGTCTGTCTGGGTGATGCTCTACGCGTGTATTTCCTGCACAGGCCAGGGTCTGGACTAAATGGTCCTTGGAATGCCAACTGTCTTGTTCTGTGGCATGTCATAATACCCTTCCTTATGTTTCTGTGTCCAAAAAGAAGGCAAGAAAGGAAAAGGAAAAAAAATCTCCAGCCATCACAGGAAATGCAAAAGGAGAACAAAGATTATTTTTGTTCTCCTTTTGCATTTACTGTGATGGCTGGAGATTTTTTTCTTTTCCTTTCTTGCTTTTTTTTTTGTTAAACGAGTGTATTATTTTATTTGCGAAGCTATTTTCTGCCACAAAAAGAGAAGAAAAGATCACATCAAACAAGAAAGGGATCAATATGAGAGTATAAGCTAAGTAGTGTGTTGAAAATTGGCCCCAAATGAAATAAACCCGGAGAGATGAAGTCTCAAATTAATAACTTAATACTCTACCGTTTAGCAGAATAACGTGGAGCTAATTCATTAACATTGTCTTCAGCAACAAACTTCAAGTCTTTTTGTCTGAGATCTAATAGAATCTGAAAGCAAGGCAGAGGTAGCCTTAGCTTTAATTGTATTTTTATCTTTAATGCCCAGGCTAAGAGAGAGAGAGAGAGGACAGATTTTTCATATTAATGAAACACAGAATACCACTGCACAATTGGAACAAATGCTATGTTTAAATAGGTAGCAAATGTTTTTCCAGCAATTCCCCAGAAGATTATTGACCTCCTGTGCTGTTTTTCTTTCCATAGCAATAGCTGTGTTAGTCTGTTGTATATTATAGCAAAATCAGCCAAGTGTCTTGTGGCTGTTGAAAGACTAACATACTTCCCTGCACGTCCTTGTTTGAGTTTGATGTTTTAGATTGCCATGTTCTTCCTCCTTGTCTTGCTGTGTGTGTGTCTTTCCAGCTGGAAATGTGTGCCAAGCACAAAAACTGGCGGATGTAGACAGTGAGTTAGCAGCCATGCTTTTCTCCCGCTTGCGTGAAGTCAGTGCAGCCTTTCAGCACACCAGCCGCGAGGCCAGCATCACCCGGAGGCGGAAGTTGGAGAGGATGATGTCGGTACGAAGACAGGAGTCTCAGGAGGGTGATTGTGGGAAGAAAGCCAGCCTCATCTTGGTAAGGGTTGTGAATGGTCAGTCCAACGTCGTTTATAGTTTGAGCTCAGCCACTGGCCATTTAGACCCATCTTGTTTATTCTAATTAGCGTTGGGGTGTTGCCAGGTCAGCATCGTCCCATTCTCTGAGATTTCAGGGTGGAAATCTGAAACCAGGAGACTGGCCCTCGTGACGTCACAGAGGCACGCCAGAACTGGTGGTGGGAACCGGCACCAGGGGGACTCTGGGCAACCAGCTAGCTATGGCCCTCAGAGCCAGGTCGAAAAACTAATTCTTTTATAGCAGAAGGGGCAAGGGGTATCCTAGTACCTGCTGGGAAATGGCAGAGATGGTTTGGGGGAGTTTAAAATCATCTCACACTAGGAAGGTAATGAGTTTCTGAAATCTCTGTTCCTCACCAATTTCCTGCATTTTTTTCAGGTTCACGATTCCTGACAAGGCCTCCCTGACATCTCCAAGACTTCCCAAGCTGAACCAGATAAAGCCTCAGCTCACCTTTAGAAATCTTGACCATGTCATGGAGATCTTTGTACCCTTTCCAAGCTCTCACTTCCCCCATTCTTTTCTCTCCATTTCCCATGGTTTTGTTGTGTGCAAGATCTGCAAGAGAGTTTTTCTTAAGTTTTTATGTTTCTTATGCCAGATTTTCTCCTCCTCTGGCATTCCTTACTCAAATATTTGTCTTCACTTTGAGATGCAGAGAAGCAAAGGGATTCTCTGGGACTTCATGAACAACAGGTCTCCAGGCAGGGCTGACCCAAGACTCTTTGCCACCTGAGTTGAAGGACCAGATCATGCCTCTTCACTAGTTCATGTGCAGAGCTGACTGGGCTGGTGTTCTGACCTTTCTGTTAGCATCCCTGGTTGTTCCTGAGCCAACAGCCTAGTTTAGTTTGCCCTGGAAAGTGGTCTGTCCACCGGCAGAGGAATAGGCTAGCTGAAGAATGCCAGAGGATCATTTGGGAAGCTATCGCCACTGCCCCCTCCCTGCATCCCCTGCCTGCGATGGTTGCCACCCTCTCTCTATCCAGTGGTAGGGCTGGCCTGGTCTCCCCAGTGTTCATGGGAGAGTTAGTCGGGAAGTGCGAGTGGGGAACTGGAAGGGATTGGAGGCCAATGTCACAAATGAAGTTCTGAAACAAGCTCTGAATCAGAATAAACCAGAGGAAGTAGAGATCATGTCTTCATCCAGGCCAAAATCTGCCCTGAAGATAGAGCTTTTTTTCCTTTTGAGACGATAGGGATTTGCCCTTCCTGCCTGACACTGTGTTGTCTGCCTCCCAGGGTGTTGCAATCCATTGAATTCCAGGAGCTTTTTTCAGTATTCCTTTTCTCGTTCCTCAGAGAAATTTAACTCCAGGAGGTGGCTTTCCCCCCGACTCTGCCTTCAACTGGGGTTGCCTGATTTCTTGCCTCCAGGGACCAGTCCAAAGTTTGCAGCGCCTTCTCATGCACCTCAAGGCAAAGCAGTCTGTAGAAAGGGGCTTTCTTTTGATGCCACCTTCAGAAATCCTATAGGTCTCTGTGGCATGTTCTGCATGACCTCAGCAGAAAGTTACTGAGGGGGCCAGTGGCTGAAGAACCTAAGAAGGTCAGAAAAAGCTTTGAAGTGGCATTGGATCGATGGCCTCTCCAGCTCAGCATTTGGTTTACGCTGCAACCAACCCATGGCCTCAGGGCTTAAGGCCACCAGCAGGCCATGGGAGAAACGACACCCTCTGTCTTCCTGTCCCTAACAGCTCATCAGCAGAGGTACATACTGGAGGTGGTATATAGCTAGCGGGGCTGTTGGCCACAGAGAGCTCCCATCCTCAATGAATTGGCCCAGTCCTCTTTTACAGTTGTCTGAGCTGGCCATTTTCATGGCTGCTTGCGCTAGTGAATCTCTCTCACAGTTGAGTGATCTGCTGTATGAAGAAGCAGAGCAGAGCTAAAGGAACAGATAGCATGGCGGAACTGTGGCTCCAAAGGCCATCCCAGCTGACTCCTTGTCGACCTCCTGCTGTAACATTGCCGACCGTTGACCATTGAACGTCTGTTTCAAAACCGCCAATGAAACAGACTCCACCGCTTTCTAAAGCAACCTGGCCAGCTCTTAAGTATCTTTGCTGTCAAGAGGTTTTTTCCAAAAGTTTAGTCAAAATCTTCTTTTATGAGATTTGAATTCATCACTTCAGAGTGGTAGAAAACAAACTTCCACATGTATTTTTCTTGCCACTGTAACCTTTTTCCTGGATGAGTCTGAGCAGGGGAGGTTTTAGTAGGAAGAGGCATCAGGAGGTAGGTAGAAGACCAGTTAATTTTTCATTCATTGTCCATCCTGCTGAAAAACCTTCTGTCACCCAAAGCTTGAAATTAGCAAGTTATAAATAATGTAACTACCAGTAACTCATCACTTTTTGCCGTGGGCGGGTGGAGTAACAAGGGTGCAGTGGAGTTCTATTTTCAGAAGTAAGGTTGCATTTACTTTAGGAGAGGGCTGTTATTGTCAGGCCCCGTTTTTCCACTCGGTACCTCCAATTTCAGTTGAATCATGCATAACCAAGTTATTTTGAGTCATTGACTTTTCCTCAGATCCATAGAGCATTCACAGAACTTAGGTTTGGGCAGGTGACTACAGTATATCTTGAAGGGAGGTATAAAGGAATCCCAACTGAGGAGCGGAAATGTGTCTACAGCTGCAATCAGATTGAGGACCTAACTCACTACTTATTACTCTGTCCTGTCTATGAAAATCCCAGAGAAAGATTTCTGTATCCCATTATTCAGCTGTATCTGAACTGTACTTCAGTGGAAATAATAGTAAGACTTCTTGCTGATACACAGCTATATTTTACGTACTCTGTTGCACAATTTGCTCTGGCAGGTGAGAAGTTGAGGTTTTGATTTGTTAAGGTTCATAATGTCACTTAAATGTTGAATATAGTGACTTTGATATTATACACTAGGCCACCATTCCCAGAATGGGTTTATTGACCTCTGAGGCATCTTTTTGTTTTAACCGTTTTTATGTAAGTTTGCCTTTGCAAAGACCTATGGCCAGATATAATAAAGGTACAATGTGTATGTGAATTAATTTTATTAATGTAACAGGTTTGTTTTCCTAATAGCTTTTGAGGGTAATTTAAATATTTTAGAGTATTTCGACATGATATTTCAAGTTTTGTACCATTTTCTTATCTATCCAGTATTTTTTTTAAAAAAGAAAGCAATTATTTTTTTAAAAAACTGCACTAGTGGTAAAGTTACTTTTCCAGCATTTTAGAAGTTTAGCAGCTTACTTTTCAACATGTAATAAGAATGAGTTACTCTGTAAAAATGAAGTTCTCCAGCCCTGTCGCTCTGCAGCATTTATTGAGTTAATCATTCCTGACTTCCCGCTTTCCCTCAGGGGCGACATGAAGCACGTGTTCAGCATGCAAGGGATCTGCAGCTCATTGATGCCTACCGGGAGCGGCTCAAAGCAGAGAGGATTGCTAGCATGCTTAGTCGGGCCATCACCACACATCACACCCTCTACGCCTCATTTGGCACAGCCGAGTTCTTCGAGTTTTCCCTGAAAAACCCACACAACGTCCAGCACACCGTCACCATCCAGATCGACAACCCAGAGCTCAGGTAGGTGGTGCAGGACATGGGCCAGGATGGCTGGATAGTTCAGAGGCTTCGGCCTCTGGCTCTGAAATAAACCACAGGTTGGGATTTCAGTTCCCCCACGGGTCCTCCTGGACAGAGGCTGGACTCGAGGATCCGTAGGGCCCCTTCCAGCTCTGCCATCCTGAGATTATTATAGCAGCATGGCTGCTTACACATCAATCAGAAGGAAAACTGGGTATGCTAATGGAGAGATACAGAGACAAAACTAGAAATTATTTTTTATTATTTAAATGGAATTACAATCCAATTCACTCAAGTGGGGGAAAAGGTTGCTTGCTGCTGAGTTTGCTGCCTAACTGCTACTCACCAGGGATGATGGGCAGCTTCCAAGTCCTAGATCTCCCTCCTCCATCTGGTTCTTTAAATTAGGGTTGTACTGGAGAGCCTTTCAGAGGAAGGGCATCTTCCAAAAGTGAGTTGCCCTCCAGCTGCCCTTCAAAAGGAGCTCGATGTGCACACAAACATGCTCGCACACACACATACACAGAGAGAGAGAGAGAGAGAGAGGGAATCTCTTTGAGCATGGTGGATGTCAGGATGAGAATCCTCTTGGCAGGAAAAGGACAATATTTTAAAGATCAGGGAAAGAATTCTCTCTCTCTCTCTCTCTCTCTCTCTCTCTCTCTCTCTCTGTGTGTGTGTGTGTGTGTGTGTTTGGTGGGGAGCAAAACAGAAACTTCCTAGGACACAGTCCCCAAATACTTCTGTGATTCCGCATTTCCATTTACTACAAATCTCTCCTTAAAACCCATCTTTACTGCAGGACTGTTTTCACAGCCCTGAAGTTGCCATGCCTTACTTACTGGGGTGGAAAATGATAGCCACCCAGATCTTCTTGGACTGCGACACCCATAATCCACCTACTCACTGTCTCCATCGGCTAGAGCTGATGGAAATCTCAGGTCAGAAACATCTTGGGGGGGGGCAAGCTGCAATTGTCCACCCTTACTGTCCTGCTAAAGGGAAAATGGGCATCCTTTTTTTTTTTTTTTTTGCCTTGTCTCTCATTTCTTCCCGTCCCCTCCGCTTTCTCTCTCTTTCCTATGCTGAATTTTATACTGCAAGCTCCTTCGGGTAGGACAAGCCTCATCTACTTGGTAGAGTCCTGGTGCATCAGTGCATTGATAGCACCATCCATATGGAACTATTGCAAGCTCTTTTTTATCAACTGCTCCACATCTACGCACACACACACGTCCCAATACCAGAGAAGACCAAGCATTCCCATGCTGCTTTTGCCCTTTGAAGACAGATGTCAAACTGAGGAACAAGTTTGAGGCAGACTGCAGCTCACCAGAGACAGGAAGCCCTGTCTCAAAATCAATCACCGTCTTTTTGCGTTTTTCCTTTTATTTCCCTTTTCCTCCCCAGCGTCCTTGTGGACACCTGTGAATGGAGGTATTTTAAGGAACTGACACAAACCACCACCCCACTGGAGGAGGACATGTTTCACCTTCAGGACAACCTCACCCCTCAGGTCTACCTGCGCCCCAAAGAGTCCGTTCACATCCCTTTCAAATACCAGGGCTTCTCCGTGGAGTCCGCTGCTGTGATGCAGGTAGGCAAACAGCCCAAAATGCTTCATCGTATGTTTGCTTTCGGGACAAAGTACCACAGGTTCATGTAACAGTCTGCAGTAAGACAGGATTGTACAGCATAGCAACCAGGTTATGGCTTCAGTAACATAATGCCCTTTCCCTACTTTAAAATGGATATCTGGCTTTGCAGGCAGAGAAATGCAAGTGTATCCTGTCTTGATCAACTTGGTGGGAAGAATGGGCTGGCCCATCTTTCTTGTGGAAGGAACTACTTAAGAGGTGGAAAGAGAAGGCACCAAATAAAGCTTGTGGGGGGGGGCTGTGTTCTCAAGTTACTCTGCTCTTGGCATCCCCTCGCTTCCTGGTTCTCTTCCTAACTAGAGAAAACTCATTGAAGGCAACTTTCTTCTTGGTTTCCTTGTCTTGTCTCAGACAGCAACTTAGGGGAATCATGGTGGAAGAGTTCCCGTCTCAGTTTCCCTAAAGCATGGGCTTCCTTTACTCTTCTGAGACTTTGCCTAGTTGTTGGCTAGGGTGGAAAGAATAATTTCTACATTTGCTGTCATCAGTTTCATCTCTCTCAGTAGAACAAAACACCTTGCGGGGGAATTATGGGAGTGCCCCAGGATTTCTGACCTACAACTGAGAGTAAAACAAAGACTCTGTCTCCAGTGACTCTGTAGTTTGTGCAGAATGTCTTTCTATCTGAAAAGCGTGCATGTACATATAGCATGTACAAATAGAGTATCTAATTCTTAAAGATGCAAAGAACCCATTCAGTGCTTCAGATTCTTAAAGCAACTGTCCTCCATATTTTGGGCAAATGATGCCGTTGTATGAATTGCACAAGTGCATGTTAAAAATGAAGGTTTTGCACAACAGATGGGCAGTATGACACCAAATATCATTTGTACCGATGCACAGACTCTGTTCAGAATGCCATGAAACCTCTAGCTGTCCTTGTGGGTGAGGGGAACAGCGGTGCAGTTTGTTGCTCTCATGTGCCGGGATACAAGAAGCAACGATATAGCATGCAGTTCCGTGCACAAGGCGACTGCATTACTTGGAGGCCAGGCACGCAGCACGAGAGGGAAGGAGAGAGAGGGTGAGGGACAGAGTGCTTCTCCCCTGCAGCCTGTTTTCGTTTAAGCCCTGCAGAACTCTGCTGAAAACACAAAGCCTAGAGAATGCTTTCCTTTCACTGCCCTGCCATCTCTTTGATTTCCAGCAAGGTCCCACTGAGCTGACATTCAGCGAAGGCAAGAAGGACACGGCGGCCCCCTGGAAGTCTGGCTGCATGCAGACAAAACACATCAAGGTAAAGGCAGGAGGGGCTGCCGTTGAAGTGCGTGGGCAGGGCGAGATTTTATTTCCTTTCTTCCACTTGAATATTTATATCCCCCTCTATCATAAGGTCCCAGGGCAGGGGTATAGCAAAAAGCAATATAAAATGCATCAAACAGTTGAATAGCTGAGAACAGTTTCAGACATATAAAACAACTTAGACTCTTTTTAAAAATGGTGCACGTAGCTCATCTCGTCAACCTGTTCTAGCCAAGAGTCTTAAGGGTGGGTTGGGGCACCTAGTGAAGGAAACGGAATCATGATAGACCATGGGAACTGCACTCCTCATCCTCCAGGTCTGTGCAGCTGCTGTACAAAGACCCCAGGAGGTCCCAGGGCATGGCTAGGGCAAATTTCCCCACCTCCCCGCCTCCAGTTGTCCAAGTGACTGCACTGCACCTCCTCACCCTTCCTCTGCACCAGTAGGAACCTCTCCCAACTAGAGCAGCCCAAGCTGAAAAGCTAAGAAAAACAGGCAGCTCAGCAACGGCACCCTTTCCCCTTTTCCCTTTTGGATGGCACTTGGCATGCACTGTCATGGTGCCCCCAAAATCTCCCACCCTGAGACTGGCTGAGCATCGGTCTATTGATTTGTGTCAACTTGTCATACCCGATTATGTTTCTAGTGGATGAAATCCCATTTCTCTGGGGGTCTATAATTCTATAGATTCCCACCTGCCGCTTTATAAAAAGATCTCTGGCCCAATGGGAAAAGCCCATCTTCTGTCTGGAATCCCAAAGCCTCCCCAGTGGAGGCTTTGGGATCCAAAAGATTTAGACTTTAGCTTTTTTTTCTCAGATGCGTATGTAGCCCAAATCAGTTTTCACAGCAGTGTCTATATCTTTCTAAATCCATCAGCCTCACATACATTTCATAGCTTCTCTTTCTTTTTTTCTTCTGGCTGGTGGGCAGGTCTCCTTCACCGTGGCTGGTGGCAAGCCCATTGCTCTCCTCTCCGTGCACGTGGAATACCAGCCTCACCTGGTAGATCAGACTTTCCGATTCTACCACCCAGAGCTCACCTTCCTGAAGAAATCCATTCGTTTGCCACCATGTCATACACTTCCAGGTAGCTTTTATTTATTTTCTTGTTCAAGGAGCCTCATAGCGCAGTTAAACTGCAGTGCTGCAGCCAAAACCTGGGTTCAGTCCCCGGTAGCCGGCTTGAGGTTCACTCAGCCTTCCATCCTTCTGAGGTCAGTAAATTGAGTACCCAGCTTGCAGGGAGGTGTTGGGTGGGGGATAATGTGTAGTCTGCGTCATTAAATTATCAACTGCCCAGAGAGTGTTTTAAACTCTATAAAGATGGTGGTGGTATATAAGCTGTACACTTTTCTGTTCTTTGTGTTGCTTTGCTTTGCTTGTGCCACCTGCCCCATCATGTTTTTTTTTTAATGAAGCAGTTCAGCAGCACAGTATAGCATTTAGAGTGTAGCTTTCTGAGCCACGAGACTGGGGTTCAAATGCTCACTTGGCCGTGAAAGTCACAGTGTAATCTTGGGCCGCTTATTGTCTCTTAGTCTCACAAGATGGTTATGAGGCTAAGCTGGGGAGGAAGAGAACCATGTGCTCCTCTTCGAGCTTCTTTGGGTTAAAACAGGATAGAAACAGCAAGAACCCAGCATGCCCCCCCCCCCATTGGTATGATGGTATCCATTCTTACTCCCTCAGGCAGGACAAGAAAAACAGCCTAGTTGTCACACATCTATAGAGTAGCTCCCTTCCTGAACATGCCTCTCAGCTTTCCTTTCCTGCCAGAAGGTGGGCTATTGGAAGCTCTTTGAGGCCAGGATCTAGCCCTCATTTTCTCATCTGTGCAACAGGGATAGGGGCTCTTTTCTGCCTGGTTCTGTAGTTGCAGAACAAGGTGGGCAATGTGGCCTCTGGGCCCTTAGACATCAATGGCCCTGGTCAAAGGGAGGAGAAAAAATACCTAGCAAGATTATTGCTATGAGCCCTGGAAGACTCCAGAAGGTTGATTTTACTTTTTTTTCAAAGGGTCTCAAGGCCCTGCATTAACATCCCAATGCATCAGACAGGGGTTTCCAGATGCTTCTGACTTCCTTTTCTTTCCACTTGGGGGCACTTTGGGTGGCCCAGTTGGTTCCTAGTGAATCCAAAGGAACGAAAAGTGGCTGAGGTTGTCCACCTCATCTTAGAAAACTCAGCTTCTTGATCACATCCCATTTGGAAGATGCTGCTGTGACCGATAGAAAGGGAAGGGATTGGATTTCTGTGCTGGCAGAGCAAAGGTGGCGTTTTGGAGCAATGTGACTGTCCCTTTTCGTCCTCGCCAGGGGCTCCTGTGGGCATGCCTGGAAGAGAACCGGAGATATTTGTGCGCTGCAGTGATCCCAACATCCTCTGCGAAACCAAGAAAATGGTACATACATGGTTGGCTGCTGTCATTATTCTGCCAAGGCGAGATGAAGGGTGTGCTGTCTCAGAGTGCTTGAAACCTTGAAGTCACTCCCAGCCGTAGTTCCAAACACTGGAGCCTCCTTCTGGTCAAGGCGGGAGCTGTGTGGCTTGGGAGGGGGGGAGGGACTGTCACGGAAGGGCTGGGAAGCTGATCCACCCGAAGATCCCGCTTCAGCCTGGTGGTTTTCAAACCACTTTTCAGGGCACGAGGGAGTCCTCAGAAGGTTGCTGGAAGACCCTCAGGGGTAAGGAGAGTTTCTGCTATGATCTGAGCTGAAAGCCCCCCATCCTTGCCACCCCATTGGTCGAGTGTGAAGTGAGTGAGGAATTTCAGCTGATTGTGTTGAAGGGTTGGAGAAGGACATCGCAACCCCTTCTATAGCTTCTGTAGTCTTCATATAATGTATCTCCTGAAAACCTCTGAGGGGGGAACATAATGCTGCCAGTTAGGATAGTGGTTATTTTACTTGCCTCTCTCCACCCTCCTTTGCCCTTCCCATTTGCTAACAGGAGGCTGTTCTTCCCCACCCCCAACCTTAACTCCATCACATATATTCTCCTATTGTTTGGTGCTACTAGTGGCAGAGAGCGGCCTGGCACTACTGCTTCTCCCTTAAGATGTGCGTAACAAAAACACAGCCTAAGTATTGTGGTCCCTGAAAGACAAACAGATTCATTACCATCCAACCCACTTTCGCAGACAGGCTGTCTCAAATATCCAGCAGCCAGCTTTTGTACAGCATAAAGTTAAAATTGTGGGGACGGGGACTCAGAGAAGACAGTGCAGAATATGAAGTGTCCAAGTGACAGTAGCATGATTACCCCAAGTAATGGACTCTGGGAGGGTTGATAAAACCTTTGTGGATATGGCTGGAATGATGACCTGTCCCTCAAGGATGGTAGGCTGGTCTTTGAAGGTCAAAAATGTTGCACCGGGAAGCACCCTGGGTCCCTCCCCCTTTGATAAACTTCTAGTTCTGAGACTAGAATCAATAATTTCATCCATACACATGACTATAAAGAATACTGCTAAGAATCCTTGGTACTTTTTTTCTGGGGAAGTGAATTGTCATTCACAGGAGCTCACATTGAAATAGATCTGGTCATCTAAAATGGGCAGCAGTTCTTTGGTTTCCGTTGTTCATTTTTGCTTCATTTTGTTCCATATGCCGAAACAGACTGACTTGGCTACTTAAGACAGGTGTGGTCAAAGTGTGACTTCGGAGCTCTGTGTGTCTCCAGGCTCTTTCTGCAGGGCTTAGCTCCATTAGGCTCTCCTACCCCCAAAAAACTGGCTTTCCTCAGCCAAAACAGGTGAATTGCTCCTTTTAGAAGCCTCCCTAAACAGCAGTTCATCCATGGTATATAAAACCCACAAAATACAATTCTTCATGGGTCAACGTTTTCTTTCTTCTCCCCATCCCCCACCCCTTTAGCATTCTGTGCAGCCCCTGGAATATTTTAGAGGCAGAAGTTTAGATTCTGGCCCTTCCCAGGTTGCTAATCCCTTTCTTTGCTGGATAGCTCAGTGATTTAGGACTCTGGCTGCAGAGCCAGAGTTTGGAAGTTCTGTTCCCCACTGTGCTTCCCTGACAGGGGCTGGACTTGATGATCCACAGAGTCCCTTCCAGCTCTGCCATTTTAAGACGATGATTATCATACCATTGTGTCAAAGGGTCAAATTTGCTTTTTTGGGGGGGGGGGTTTGCATCCGAACTGTCTCAATATATAGCCCATTCACATGAGGGGAAATGTGAGCCTTCAGAATATGTTCCACATTCATACCATTGTGGCAAGGGTCAAATTTGCTTTTTTTGAGGGGGGGGTGTTTGCATCTGACCTGTCTCAATATATAGCCCATTCACATGACGGGAAATGTGAGCCTTCAGAATATGTTCCAGAACTTTCTGTGATTCAGAACTGGGAGGTGTGCCTAGAAATGAAACTCATGCTTAGACAGGATTGGTGGGGGGAAAAACTTTTCTGGATGTCACAGGAACATTCTGCTATCATCTACTGAGTCTGACCGTTGCTTTATCTAACCCATTATCTATCCTCCGCTCTGACTTGCAGCTGTTAGCCCTCCAGGGGTTCAGGCCAGATTCTTTCCAAACTCTACTAGGAGATAACTGGGATTCCAGGTCATCTCCCATCCAGGTCCTAGCCAGGCCTGTCTGCTTGGTTTCCAAGGTTAGATGCAGTTGCGTTGTGTTCACTGTGGTATCTTGGTATGCCATAGGCAAGCCACTTGGAGGGGGAAATGTTTAGTGACAGATCATGAGCTTTGTTTGTAGAAAGAATCACCTTCGGTCCCCAACTTCTCCAGACCAGTCTGGGAAGGACACCTGGATCGCCCCTACTGCCGGTCAAGGCTGACTGTCACGGGCTGTTGGGACCAAAGACCTGAATGGCTTGTGAAGTGGCTTCTTGAGTTTCTATGACGTCCCAACTTGAGTTCATTTTTTAAAAAAAGTGCATTTCAACCCTGAGTTAGAAATGGATCAGCAGTATGGTTTCCATGTTGTCACTCAGGGGCCTGGAGAGCCACAGGACGTCTTTCTGAAAGTCGCCGGCGGTCCCAGTCCTCAGATCAAGAGATTCTTCCTGGCAATTTACACGTAAGTGGGGAAGCGATGCTGCCATGGCTGCCAGCAGACTGTTGGGGATGGCAGTCATTTGCACCTGGGAGAAAGGATGGAACACCCTCTCTCTAGACAAGGGAAGTCCTTAAGGACTGGGAACATTTTACTTTTCAGAGGGAAGGGCTGTTAGTCTTGTAGAGAGATCGTTTCTGCAAATCAAAGAGGCCTTGAGAATAAGGGGAAAAAAACAGCTCTTTTCTGGCTCAGTCCTAGATGCAAGGAGTCTCCCAAGTCCTGGAAATTCCTTGTTGAATGTGTCAGCAGGTCAAGGCAGCCAGAAACAATGACCACAGAGAACTTGGCATGCATTCTCCACGCCCCTAATTACCAGCCGGTGTAGGCAGTACCATGTAGTTAGTGAAGTAGACCGAAGGCCTCTCTTCTCAGAAGGCAGCTTTCATTAGTTAAAGGATCTTTCTGTTCATTAATGACCATCTGTGATGGAGGGCTACCAGCTACGAGACAGCCTCAAATGGAGGGGAGCAGCACTGAAGCCAGCGGAGGAGTCTGTGCTCTTGACTTTGGGTGTGTGACTTGCAAAAAGGTTGCTTTAAAGGGAAGCTTCTTCTTTATGGTCTCTGTGGATGCACACAATTGGGTTTTAGTGCACCTGTGCAGAGACTGTCGGAAGCTTCTATGTCGTGCCCATGGCATGGAGTACCTCAATTCCTTTTTCCTGCCGCTGCAGCAGCACCTTGGCTAAGGAGCTTCCATTCATTCTGTGAGAAAAAGAAAACAAAGATAGTATGATGTCTTCAGGACCTTCCTCCATTCTATTCTACCATTTCATTAGTATAAAAAAGAGAGAGAAGAGAAGAAAAAATGAAGATAAAGGAGACGAATCTCTTTTTCCTGCCCTTTTTTCATTCGAGTATTCTGCTCTTTTATGGCCTCTTCGGGCCCTTTCAAGCGGTGCGAGTCTTGCCTGAATAAAATAACTCTTTCGGATGGGTGTTCTCAGCGCCTCTTGTGCTTAGGTGAGGCACATCAAACTTCATCATGTCAGGCCTGTAAAAAATTTACTAAACCAGCGCTTAAACTTCATATCCAGCGGTTACGATCTTTCCTCTGGGAAATATCCCCATAGCCACCTCAGCGCTCGACCATGGATCCTAATCAGGCCCAAACGACATAGCCCTCGGCTCTCAAAATCGCTCTCTGAGACCTGGAGACTTTCTCAACCCAATAAGAAGTCCAAACCGACATGGAAACCAAAGCTGTTGATATCAAAACTCACCTCAACTCACTGCACTGTATCGGCCCCAAAGTTGACCTCTGTATTGTCAGACACTTCTAGAAGGAAAAAGAGAACATCACTCTCTCACAAGGCCAAACACTCTGCAGATAAACCAGCTGTACCTTCTCTGCCTATGGAAAAGCATCGTCAGGAGACAGCGTGCCTTGATTTATTGTTTGGGGGATAAGGATAATCCTCTCTGCCTGGTACTCCGCCCTCCCCACTATTCAGTCACTCTCTTGGCTGGGGGAAATACCTTGGCTGAAGTCACTGCAGTTCTACACTCTGCGCAGATGAGCCCTCAATCCACCCCCTCCCACCAGTGCCAGATACCACACATGGCTGGCACCTTTTCTCCATGCATCACTTCATACACCTGCGTCCTCACCATCATTGATGTAGGCTATGCAATATAATTCTATTGTCTTCCCACAACTGGATTTCTCAAATACACCACCCCCTTCTCCCACCCTGGAAGAGGAGATATGCTGTCTACTACAGAAAGATGCCATCACTCTAGTCCAACTGGCAGACATTTCTCTGGGATATTTTGTAGTACCCAAGAAGGATGGTGGACTACGACCCATCTTAGATCTCTGCCACCTCAACTCTTAAATCACCCCACGGCATTTTCTTATGGTCACCTTGGACAGTACCATCCAACTACCCCAACAGCATGATTGGTTCGAGGTCATAATTTAAAGGACGCCTACTTTCACTTAAACATACATCCGGACCATTGCAGATTCCTCAGGTTCACTTTCCAAGGAACGACTTACAAGTTCAAAGCCCTTCCATTCAGCTTGCCAGTCAACCACAGGTCTTTACAAAGTGCCTCGCTCTGGTAGCAGTATATCTCCGCCTCCAAGGCATCACCACCTTCCTTTGTTTGGACAATTGGCTTCTGGTATCCCTGTCTTGTACCAAGACATGCCACGGCATCAACTTGACTCTGTCCCTTCTACCAGACTTGGGACTTCAAATCAGTCTATCCAAGTCGATTCTCAAACCCTCCCAATGGTTCATGTGCATAGGAGCAGTACTCAACTCAATTCAGAGCATGTTAGCATTGGGCGGCTGTAGCGGTTTGACACCAATTTAGCTCTCAGAAATCCTCAGAATTTATCTTTTGGTAAAGAACTTAGAATTCCATGCAAAGAGCTCTCTCCCTTTCCCATGAACTACGGCAGAGAATTCAAAGTGCCTCATCCAGTCGCAGATGCTAGGATACTATAGTACGGAGCCACGACAGTTAAAAGGGGTCAAACTATTACTATGTAAATATACTCTTGAGTACTTGAGAAAAGTAGGGAGGTCATATTTTGCTTATAAGCCTCTCTCTCTCTTTAATAATAGAGATGAATGTCTGCCCATCTTCAACATGAAACATTTCCAGGAACTAGATGCCTCGTGCTTAATTTGAAGAAATGGCAGATATGGCAGTTTAAGGGGTTTTTGTTCTTTTCTAGTTTTTCATGGCTTTGTTTCCGTGATAATTTGTTTAATTTTGGCAAGACTCTAAAACGCCGTTTGTTTCTCTGTCCTCAACTCCAGGGAGACCTGGATGGCATCCCCCGCCCAGATCTGGCAGTTCTACCTCCATTCTTTGCAGCGCGTGGACGTTAGCTGTGTCACAGGGCAGCTGACGCGCCTCGCACTGGTGCTCAGGGGGACTCAAGCCATCAGGAAGGTGAAAGCCTATACCTCGCATCCCCAGGAGCTGCAGGTAAGACTGGCCTTCGGCTTCTTTTCAGATGAGCTTTCCTTTCTTGGGTGCTCTGCCTGCTCCTAGGAAAGCCTTATCTTCTTAAAACCCAACAAGACCAGTGACTTTCTTTTTGCTAGATGGTAGAGGGTGAGGGGAGAGGGGTTCAGCTCAGTGTCCCTAGAAGGGAATCTCACAACTTGGAATTATTTGCAGCCACAAAGAAGGTATTTCCACCCCTGCCAAGATACTCTGCCTCTGCTGACTGTGTAGATGGTGGACAGTATTTATTTACTCAGTAAAGTCAGTGAAATAAATAATGAACATGGGTGAAAATGAGTTCTAGGAAAAACCAAGCCCATGGTACTCGGTGGAAAGTAAGCAGCCTCAGAAATCCAGCTGAAGATCTAAAATGGAAATGGCAAGCATGTTGACAAATAGAAGTTGCATGGAATTTGTGAACAGTGGGAGACTAGATGTGGGATAAAAGTTAGAAAAGAAATGGCCTGGAGCATCAAGATGACCTGGAGCAGCTTCCTTGAGATGAAACATAGAGCCCCGAAAACTTAAAATTGGCTTTGAGAAGATGCCTTGTACTGTGTTGTGTGTTCTCAGTTCTACTGTATGCCATGGGCATTATAGACCTTAACACAGGTGACTATGAAAAAAAGATATAAGCACTTGAAATTGATTTAAGGATTTCTTGGGCTGAGGCGGTGATCAAGGAGAAAATTGGTTGTTGTGGGTTTTTTGGGTTCTTCGGCCGTGTTCTGAAAGTTGTTCTTCTTAACGTTTTGCCAGTCTCTGTGGCCAGCATCTTCAGAGGACAGCACTCTTCTTGCCTATTTGCAGTGCTGTCCTCTGAATATGCTGGCCACAGAGACTGGAAAACGTTAGGAAGAACAACCTTCAGAACACGGCCAAAGAGCCTGAAAAACCCACAACATCCATTAGATCCCGGCCGTGAAAGCCTTCGCGAATACAAGGAGAAAATTCTTTAGATGGATGAAGAAATCATGAAACATTTGAGATTGAGAAAACTATTTCAGTTTTATTTCACCCATACTATAAGAAATGGACAGCACAGATTGTTATAGTCGATTGAACAAGTCAAACAAATGGGTGGAGAAGAGCAGGAAAAGGAACTGAAGGATGGAAGAAACCCAAAAGACTGGTCTGGTGCAACACGTCATTGTTTACAGCTGCCAAAATAGTCAGGATGATGTCCAACTCCCTGTAGGAGAGGGTCGGGTCAATGTAGCCGTGATGCTGTCCAGCTCAGGTGGCAGGAGGTTGAGAAGAAGGAGGAAGCATTCAAGAGCAGGAAGGGGACCCTTCTTCTCCTCCTGCTGGTGGCCTCTTCTGACTCCTTCCTGATCCAAACAATCAGGGTTTGCGACATGAACTGAATTGGTTATGTGGGGTAATCCAGTAGCATACAGAGTACTCCGTCCTGGGTAGCTAATCACATATTAGAAATCAAATTTCTTATAACTGCGAAGCCGGAGGAGACCCTATGGATCACTGAGTCCAGCCCCTGTCAAGCAGGTACAGCTGGGAAATGCAATCCCAATCTTTGGCTCCACAACCAGTTACCACAGCAGGGAAATGCAGTCCCAATCTTTGGCTCCACAACCAGTTACCTGAAACACTGAACTATATTTGATGAGGTTACTAAGGATGGAGGAAAGAGAGAGAACACACTAACAAGAAAGAGTAGGGAGACTAAATAGGAAAGGAGCTGCCAAACGTAATCAAAACTGGATGGTGTTTCTGACAGTGCTAAATATCCTCCCCCTTCTCTCGTACCTCCACTAGGTCAGTGGTTAAGCGGTTGGTTCAGCTCAGCCATAATATAAAGTAAACTGCTGTTGGCATTTTACTGGGAAATCTGCAAGTGGGTTTGCTCAGAGATATTCATCAAGGGTCCATGAGAGAGAGAGAGAGAGAGAGAGACTATTCATCAAGGGTCCATGAGACAGAGAGAGAGAGAGAGAGAGATGGGCCGTCCACTAGGAGACAAGAGACCGTGAGGGGATGCAGACAATTTACTGCTGCGAAGCCTGCTCTGTAATTGTCTTTTGATTAAAGCCATCCTATGGAGAGATCAGTGGCCCAAAACCCCAGTGGGCAAGTTATCTGAATTAATGAGGCTATCTGGAGACTAATAATTTCTTTAGAATGCATTTAGTCATAATTATAAATGTGAATATTAAGGGGGGGGAAGGATGTTTAAAAGTTTCGAAGCTTTAAGGGAGTTTAGAAGAACAGCGCAGATAAAGAGATGATAAAGCCTTGGCTGACTCAAAGTCAGCTTCATCCTTCCGTCTGCAAAACAAGTCTGTGTGATTCTCAGTCAGAGGTGGGGATAAATCAGCCGTCCCAGTTACTTATGACTAGAGATGGGGATATTTGTATTGCTCATGGTGGATTAGCCACTCCTGGCAGGATGCGGGATGACGAGTCTCTCTACCAGGTTGAAGAGTGGCTAATCCACTGTGGATAGGAAGGGGGGTCGGACCCTCATTATCTCCACCTGTGTGTGTGGGGGTATTCATGAATGAACACGAATACCCCCATCTCTACTTATGACCGAAAAATGTGTGGGTATTCATATATGAACATAAATACCCCCATCTCTACTTATGACCGAAAAGGGAGGACACCCATCCGTAAAAGAGAGGACACCCGTCTCCATGAAAATGTGTATAGTGATTTATGTAGACAGGTGCAAAATGGGAAAAGACTTCTGAAATTGAAACGGAATTGCAATATAACTCACTCAAGAGGAGAATGCAGTGCCCAGGTGGCCTGTGTGCCTTCTGGTGTGTCTACTTGTCCAGGTACTGCTACCTGTGCATAAAAGGGCAACTTTCATGAGGACCCTTATGATCTCCATCCTCCTTATGGCTCTTGGTCCTTATATCAGACTTGGACTAGAGAGCTCATCTGATAGAAGATGCCTTTCAAAGGCGGATTGTCTGCTGACAGCTCTTGAGACAGAGGACCGCCTTCCCTCGTATGACCATCCTAGTGTGGGTGACAGTTTAAGGAAGGCAGTTATCTGTTCCTGGTCATTACGTTGCCATTTAAGGAAGGCAGGGAGGGGATTTCCACTCAGCCGCTTGGCTCAGTTATCTGTTCCTGGTCATTACGTTGCCTCTCACTCTCACCTCCTTGTGCTGTAATCGCCAAATGAAACAAAGACACCCTTACTTGCCTTTCTATCTAAAGCTAAGAAAGATTCATGATATTCCACAAAGATTCATGATATTCTACTAGTAGTGCAGTAGCTCTGAGGTTTGTTCTTTCCTTTCCGGGTCTTTGCAAGCTCAAAGTTGGACATCAGTGGCGAACTTTGTGTGCCAGATTAGAACCCTGCTACCCCTACCTAGACACACAGTAGAAAGGAAAACAGCAATGGGCAGGTCGGCAGTGCTTCTGGGTTGGCAACAAGCCCACCTGATGACCAAAGAGGGGGGCCCCGATGGGTGGGTGGGGTGTGGCCTTTGGCAAGTAACAAGATTTTCCCACTGGCTCCTCCCATCTTTGGTTTTGGCTCCACCTATCCATTTGTTTATCTGTAGTCAAGAGGCAGGTTACCTTAACATGTTCATGCCACTCTGGTCATTGCTTAGTTTTGGTCTAGATCCCCGTGTGAGGATTTGGAACCTCTGGACAAGCGTCAGGGTGAACTCAGCTGCCTGTGGGTGGATCACCAACTGGCTTGTATTCCCAGGTACCTCTGAGGCAACCCCACTGAGCCACATCTGTAGAGGTGCCCTCTGCCTCGACAGTTCTGCCCAGGGCATCTGGCAGGTTCCCATATTCTTTGCTGCACTCCCTGTGCCATGAGCTGGATATTAAGAGTCGCCATCTGGACTCATCCTTGGTTATTATCATATTAAACCAGGGTCCTTTTTGCCATTTCAAAAACCTCTTTTCCTGCAATTTGATGCCATCCATCATCACAGCGAGATGGATTGAAGAAAAGAAGGCTGCTAAATCTCAGCATAAGGCAGATGTGGCCCCATGGCCAAGGGGGACAATTTAGCCAAAAAGAGAACCTGCTAGCCCCACTTCATTTGCCTTTGCTGGTCAGAGCACATGTTTAATCAGGATGGAGCCGGAGGTTGAGCAGATTCGCTTCCCTGTTGCCTAGATTGCAAGGGGGCTGACATGGTTCCTTTTCGAGAGTGCCTGTTCAGTCTCTGTGGCATCCGTGGATTCATCCCGAGGCTTCTCCTCAGCCCCCCAGCAGAGATTTTGGCAGCGTAGTTCAAGGCACTTCGCACTGGTTTGCCTTAGCCACCTCCTGTGGGCTGTCACTTGCAGAAGCGACACCTTATGGATAGTCTGCCAGATGCTGATACCAGGGATGCAGATTCTCACATTTCTCATCCTGGCAGGTGGGCATGACGAATGGCGGCATTCTTCTCCTAGCGAGTGAGGACGCTGATCATTTTTATGGTGCTGTCAGTGAAGTTCTGGTCCTGATGAGAAAAACGTGGTTTTGTCTGAAAATCCTCTCTCGCTCTCCCTGGCACAATGGCTGGCAAAAATGAACAGAGCAAGGATCCCTGTTCTTATATTTAAGAAATCACTTCAATGAGTTGTTTGAGCCTTTCTTAACCATCAACCAGTCCTTCTGTGCTTGTTGTGGGCATATGTGGATTTGCATATGTTTCCTATGATTTTAAAGGAAGATGGCATTAGATACATTTTGCAGACAATACAGAGTCCTTTGGGATCATGGAACAATAGCTTTTTAACTCTCCACTGAAGATAAAGATCCTCTCCGAGCTTTAAGCTATGGTGCTTGGGTATGGTTGCAGCTTGGACTGACCTCTCTAAGCCCTTGAAGGGTATGACCAGTTGAGTAGAAGGTAGAAAAGGGTGCTCATTTGGGCCTTGGGAAAGATATTCCAGTTGGGTTGTGCGCTGTCGAGATGTTAGAAATTCCATGTCAATATTCCGCCAAGTTTGACCTCTAGTTACTTAAGAGAAAGAAACCTGTTGATACGTCTTTTGTGGAAGTGGCATCGCTGTTCTATAGCCTGAGTTTGGAAACTGAGAGAAAATGGCGAAAGAAACTTCCTGCAACCCCTAGAGTTTTGAGCAACAAGCTCATCCATATTGCTTCTTCCTCCCTGCCAGGTGGATCCGGAAGGTATCTTCGTTCTCCCTGCCAATGGGGTGCAAGATTTGCACCTTGCAATAAGGCCCCACAGCGCTGGCAGCCGGTTCATCTACCTCAACCTGGTGGACGTTGAGTACCATCAACTAGTTTCTTCTTGGTTGGTGTGCTTGTCCTCTCGGCAGCCTCTCATCTCCAAGGTAGGCAAGTCACCTGTTTTAGACTGCAGGCCATGCGAAAGAGTATGTGAGTCCAGAAGGGTCCCGAGGAGTCATGTGTGCCTGGACTTTGGGGGTGATGAAGAACCAGGGCCAGCTTTTAAGAGGAGCTACTTTTTAATGTTGTCTCTTTGGCAGTTTAAAACCCAGTCCATTTGCTCTGTCGGTTATCTCCTATTATTTGAGTTTCAATAATTAAAGAACACGGTCTCCAGTTTCAGTTTCATGTGCTGCTGCCTGCAACAACAGTTTTCTACTTCTAAGCTTTTCTAAGAAAATCTTTCCTGAATCACCTTACCCTTAACCCTGTGTTTGTTCTGAAGTCCTTCTGCTTCTGCCATTGTCTCACCACAACAGCTTGCTTGCTCATGTGCCCCCCTCACCTTCTCTTTGTTTCCTCTTTCTCACCATGGAAAGACCAATCTCCCTCTTAGATTTCGGCTTCTGTAGACATGGACTGTGTCATTTCTATATTCTGTATATAGCACCTCTTCCTCTAGGAGCACACAGAAGACAGAAGCCATTCTCCTAAGAGAATTTCCGGTGAGCTGGCTAGGAAACCACTCAAAAGGGATGCAGAACTCAGAAATCTTTCACACATAGAGGCTGAGCTTTACAGGGAACTGAGCTAAGAACAATTATGTGAACCTGTGTCATTCTTTTCTTCTTCTTCTTCTGAAGCTATATGTGGGGAGGAATTTAAGTTGGTGAAAGAGCATGCAAAAAATAAAGAGTTAAATGCCCCCTTGCCAGAGTATGATCTTCTGTCGCTTGGCGTTGCTTTATTCCACCTGGTGTGAAGCCCACCCACGTTGCCTTCTCCTTCCAGGCTTTTGAAATCGTGCTTCCTGCTGGGGGAGGGAGAGGCTCAAACAAGAAGATTGCCTACACCAACCCCTACCCATCCCGGAGGGTGTACGTCCTGCACACCAACCGGCCAGACTTGCTGCAGTTCAAGGAGGACTCTTTTGAGGTAGGAGTAGCTGAAGGCAACAAGGTCACCTTTTCTGCTGCTGCACATAGAATTCCTCCCAGCCAAAGAGGGGACCTGCTGGCGTCTTCATTCTTGTTGATGGAGGCATCTCAACCGGATGAGATGCTCTTGATGGGATATTTTCTGGCCCTGAGAAATCCCTTGCCACTAGGTGACAGCGAGATAAGGAGCACTCTTTATTCCTGCCCAGGGCTCTGTACTTTCCACAGACTGCCTTTGCAAAATTAGTACCTTAAGCACACAACAAACATGGAACAACTGGCACAGTGTTAAAACAACAGACCCCTTTTCTAATCATTTTCCCCCCTAACCTTTTCCTAATCCTTAATGTCTAGGCAGCGAAGCAGCTGCATTTGACATTCTATGCAATTGGCATTATTTGCCTCAAAGTGTTGTTTGCACACAGTTTAAAGCTCTGTGTGTAGAATTTTGCGCGCGCACACAGTTCTCTTGCAGACCCCCATGAGCCCTCACCTTCTTACGGGGCAAATGGAAACTTGTGCGAGGATGAGACAAGCAAAGGTTTTCATCCACAGGCAGATGTTCCACCTTGGGTTTGGTGATACGCAGTGGTTTTCTAGCCTAAAATCCATGTGGTGAGTTGTTTCGTGCAAACTGGGTGTCAGTTCAGTTCCCCTCTTGCTTCATCTCTCAGTTCCTTCATCTCACAAGTCCTGTGACCCAAAGCAAGGATTTTAGCTCACATCACAGATCAGCTCCCAAAAGGAAAACATAGTGCTTTCTGTAGGCATAGACACTGTCTAAGCATCGTTTAGCCGAAGGTCTGCATTAAAAAAAAAGTCTTCTCTCAGTTCTTAAGAGAAAAGGTGCTTCTACTAGGCCACAAAACTCCTCATAAGTTATACAGGGACAATTCAGTGACTCTTGACGTCCTGCTTGGTAGGCGGGCAGGTGCAAATAGCCCCTGAACTGACCGTTGCTGCTGTCTTGTGTTTCATCCTCCATAGATCGGCAGAGGTGAGACTTACACCATCGGCTTGCGTTTTGCCCCAAGCCAGAGTGCTGGTGAGGAGGAAATTCTGATTTATATCAATGATCACGAAGACAAGAATGAAGAGACGTTCTGCGTGAAGGTCACCTATAAGTAACCGTGTGTGCCCTTGCCTGCGTTTTTTTCCCTGCCTCTCTCCCACCATCCATCAAATGGAATGCTCCTGTCGTGGCTCCCCGTAGCCCTCATGCCCCTTAATTGTCCCCTGAGCACACATTTGCAAAGAGGCCTCGGTATCCTTGGACTTGGTGTGTGTGTGTGTGTGTGTGTGAGAGAGAGAGAGAGAGAGAATGTGTGTGTGTGTTTACACCATCCTTGGACTTGGGGTGTGTGTGTGAGAGAGAGAGAATGTGTGTGTGTGTTTACACTTTCTCCTGCATCCCGCCAAGCCCTTGACAAGCGGTGTGATTGATCGATTGCCCCAAGTGGATTTCTCCAAACGTCAGCAAGACCTCCAGCAGCAGCACAGCCAAGTCGTCTCTGCCCCCTGCCCACCTCCCAGCTTCGGATCAGAAACATAGGCTTCTCTCAAGACCATGTCATTCGTTGTAGAGAAGGTTGTGGAGGCTTTAAGACTTCTTGAAACAATTATGGGGAGCGTGTTTGCAGATTTGGGGTTTGACCTTATTTTTCTCCATAGACATTGGGTTAGTCTAAGTTTTAAGGGTTTTTTAAAAAGGAAATAAATTGTAAAGTTTACCCTGAATGGACCACTCAGTGTGTAATAAGTGTGTGTGTGTGTGTGTGTGTGCATTTTTCTCCATAGAAGTTGGGTTAGTTTAAGTTTTAAGGGTTTTTTTAAAAGGAAATAAATTGTAAAGTTTCCCTGAATGGACCACTTAGTGTGTAACTTTTGTGTGTGTGTGTGTGTGTGTGTGTGTGTGTGTGTGAGAGAGAGAGAGAGAGAGAGAGAGAGAGAGACCATGCAATCTAATTCTTAGGTATAATGTTCACAACTAAATGAATGACATGTGTTTTTTCAGAGCTTTAAGTCAGAGTCATAACAGATCATTCGAAGATGGTCTCAGAACACTGGATATTATGTTTAAAAAGGAACTTTTTGCATTATTCATTCCTGTGTTTTGCCAGTTTGCCCGTATTTGTGTCATTGTTTCCCTGTGTGTTATTAGCATGTTATCAGCAGGCTGGAAAAGAGCAAGGAAATGCTCTTTTGGTGGCCACTCCGGATGCTGCACTCTGAAATAATTTGCAAACATGTGAAACATGATACATTTATAATTGATAATAGGATGGCAAAAACCTTTAATTTTTTTAAGTCAAAGTGCCTCTAAACTGGCCTTCAGTGCCTTTGAGAAGTACCTGAAGGAACTAGAAAATGTTGCCTATTGCCTCAAAAAGTAACTTTATGACCCAACTTTATTTTTTAGTAGTTTAAACAGAACTGAGCTCTGTGCTGGCTGCTGTGGATTCTGCTGTCCTGTTCTTACTCGCCGTGGATGAGAGGCAACTTCCTCCTCCTTAGGGTTCATGATCTTTAATTCAGACATGGACCGAAGAGCTCTTCAGATGGAGGCTAACTTTTCAGAGGAGGATTTTGCTCAAAACAAGGATTGTCCTCCCTAGAAAACAACGTGATCACCCCCACAGGTACTCTTTTCAGGTAAGGTAGGGGAAGATTTATGTCCCAAAGCTTGCGTTCACTGCAGACAGAACGGAGCAAAATGAGTCAAAGATGTCCCATGATGTTCGTGAGTTCCTTGTGTCTGATGTGGCTACTTTTCTGCTTATTTGACAGTAATTTGTATTAATAGAATAGAGAGACCCAGCATCCATTACTCTACTGTGAAGACCACCCGGTGACCTTGGGCACCCATCTTCTCTCTCAACCAGTGTGTTTGATGGAATCACAGAGCTGTAGACTTGGGAGGGATCCCCAGTAGTCATATAGTCGGACCCTCACCACTGTAAGAATTAACCACTTAAAGCATCCAAGACAGATGGCTGCCAACATTTATTTAACATTTTCCAGCATAGGAAGAGCTTATCATAAGGTAACTTGTTCCACTGCTGAACAGCTTGTTCTTGGCAGGGAGATCTTCCTAAGAGTTCTTTGTGCTTTTAATTTGGGTCCAGTCATTGAAGTCCTGCCCTCTGGAGCCACAGAAAGCAAACTGGCTCCCTCTTTGTGGGGCAACTCTTCAAATATTTGTACATGGCCATCATAGCCTTTAATTAGTTCCAGCTACCAAGTTATCAAACAAGAGTTCCATGTCTAATGCACAGGGTTGCCACAAAATGACTAGAAGACACACACACACACCCATAAACCAGTTTTGTGACACTCCTCAGTCTTCTCTTCTGCAGGGTAAATGCAGCTCTCTGAATCATGACTCCCAGGGCTTGGTTTCTGTGCTCTTGGCCACCCTCCTCCGGACATGTTCCACATCCTTCTTAAGCTGTGGTGTGCAATATTGGACCCAAGACTCCAGAACAAGATGAAACCGGATTGTCCCATGTACCACCTCAAGATATACTTCTGTAAGAAATGGAATGGGTACCCCTTACATGTCAAGATGAAGAGAACTGTACTTACATTTTGCAAAACCCCCATTTCAAAAGGTCCTTTGCAAGTTAGCCCTCTGCTAGAGAATGGGTGCCTTCTAAGGAAGGGTGGGGAAAGTTTGCCGGGCTTTTTCTTTGAGCGGACAGTGCTTAATTAATTGCATGAAAACTCCATGAGCTCTGCAGTGCAATCCCTTCACTGAGCAAAGAAAGCCAGAGGCAGGAGTATCTTAGAGAACAGGATTGGCTAATTATGCCAGAAATGGCCCAGGGATGGATGGAATTGCCGTCTCAGCACCCCCCCGGCCCAGGTAGCGAAGAAACCAACAAACTGGAAAATGAGGAAGCCTTTGTTAGTTAATAGCTGCTCATTTCGTTCAGAAAGGAAAGAGGGGAAAAGAAAATGAAGCAAGAAAAATCATTCAGATTAAACCAGTAAAAGGTTTTAGGGCTGTTCCTCCTCCCCACGCAATATTAAGCCTCACCAATGGCAAAAAAACAAATTGTAGGATTAATGGGGTCTTTTAAAAAGCCCTTTCTCAAGGTCAGTGACAAACTGTCAGGTGATGTTGGGTGCTCTCAGCCGTTTGCCAGAGCAGCCTTTTCAGCCACAGGTGCAGAAAGGTTAAGTCAGAGCTAAACTCCCCCCCCCTGCACTAACTATATTTGAACCCAGTGTGGCACATGACACTTGGTAGGTGTAAATGAGTTCAGGAAACCCAAGAGCAAGACTCGGGAATAGGGTGGCCACTGAGATCCAACAAAGAGGGAAGATGAAAGAGGCACTGATTTGTATTAGGGTGCTTGGTACATAAGAGAGAGCCCTTGGTAGGGATGACACCTTCAAACAGAGGACTGTCCTCCTTTAAATATATGCTTCTCCCAGGTTCATCCTCTTATTCTACCTGGTCAGCAGAGTTGAGAAGGAAAGATCACATCTGGAAAAATGAAGATCAGGGAATCAACTCTTCCATCCCCAAATGTTTTTCTTGAGTCCTCCAACCCTTCCAGAGGACACAAGCATAATAGGATGGGGGGGGGAGAGACAGACCTTTGTACGGCTTTATCAAGTAAGAGAAATCCTCAGGGGTCTTCCTGTAGCTTTTATATGTATCTGCCCCCTCCTTTCCCTTCAGTGGACGTACTTACTGGAGTGAAATTGGACACTGCAGTTAAGAGTATTTCTCTTACCTAATAATCTCCCGACAACCAAGTTGCAATCCCCACTCCAGTTTTTTAAAGCGGTTTCAGAGAAGTGAAGAGTTTTCTGAGGATTGCCATAAAAGCTCTTTCTTTGAAAAGGGGGAGAAAAAAGAAGGAAACTTTTCAGTTCTGAAGTACTTCTGGCATGAGTGTGATGGAGATGGCAGTTTCTCCCATTAATCATTGCCATTCCAACTTAAGAAGAAGAAGAAGAATTTCCTTGGAACATAGCACACACACTAATAATTATGGGACAAATTATTCCGACAAATATCTCTCAAGTTCAGTGTAAAATTCTGGAGTGGTTTCCAAAATTGGAATGTTTGCTTCGTGAAGCAATACAAGTTTTTATAAAAGTACCTTTCTATTTGCTGACTGCTAACAGAGCACGACAGAGGAATAAAATTGAGACAGACCTCAGGAAGCCAGTAACCAGAGCCAGGTGAACAAGGAGAGCATGAATGAATGAATGAATGAATGAATGAATGAATGAAAAGAAAGAAAGAAAGAAAGAAAAGAGTTCGACAGTGGAGACCATTGCTGGGGGGTGGAGGGGGGGCTAATAGAAGTTTTGATTTCTGGGTATAGTATTAAGTGTACTTTCCCAGCAGCCTTCAAGGAAGACAAGACAAAAGAAATGGCACTCATAGACAAACATAGGAAAGTAAAAAAAAAGATAACAGGGAGGGAAGAGATACTTCAGTGATGGTGACCTGAAAGGTCTGTGCAATGTTTGTCTCCATTAGTGAGAACAACACAGAGTACACATGCATCAAGTGCAAACTGGTTGCACTGTTGGAAAAAAAGTGAAAGAACTGGAGGAGTGAGTGGCCAGGTTTAAGGCTATAAGAGAAGACGAATAGTACACAGAACTTCAGCCACAGTAGCATTAAGTGAAACACTAGAGGCAGAAGAATAGCAAGACACAGCAGAGAAAGAGAAGGCTGAGGAGAGAACAAACATAGTGGAAGAAGCACCATGGGAAAGGGTCACCGTTAGAAACAAAAGAAGTCGAAGACTTCTCATCCATCCTACTTGTATTCAGAAGAGGAATTAAAAAAGGGAAATAAAAATACTGCAGATAGATAAAGGTAGTGCCAATGTGAAGGATTTGGATTCTGAGACCATGGGATAAGCCTCCTGGAAGTTGGGCTGCTGGCAAATGATGGGTTGCATCTCACAAGAACTGGGAAAAATGTTTGCTTACAGCATGAAGAACTTCATCACGAGGGCTTTAAACTGAACTGGAAGGGGAGAGAAATGAAAGATCAATGGTAAAAAATAAATGAATGTTTATGTACAGACTGAACACTTCTAATGAAGTGCAATAATCTTCATAAAAATGTAGGAAGGAAAGCAGGCCACAAATCACACCACCTTTCATGACTATATACAAATCCCAGGAATATGGAAAACAGGAAGAATTGGAAAATTTAGTTCAGGAGAGTAAAAATGACTTGATTGGGATAACTGAAGATGAGCTTGGTTGTCCCATCTAGAGCATCTGGATTAATATATCTGGGGTGGAAAACAAAAGAAATATGGCAGTTGGAGTCTACCACAAACCAGCCAATCA